AAGGGTCACATATTTGGTTCCCAGTCAAGGGCACGTACCTGGGTTGCAGGTTGGATCCCTGGCCCCAGTCAGCTGAGAGGCAACCAATCGATGTGTCTCTCTCACATCGATATTTCTCTCTGTCTTTCCCTCTCTCTTCCACTCTCCCTAAAAATCAATGGGAAAAAATATCCTCAGGTGAGGATTAAAAAAAAAAGCAGGCAATTGGAGCAACTACTGGCCTGGAGGCCATCTATCTTGGGGCCCAGCCTCCACCTCCCTGACCTCCATCCCTGCGGGCCCTGCCATGCTGGGGTCTCATCACCATGGAGATGGGCCGAGCTCCACAGCCCTGAACCCCAGTGAGCTCAGCGACGCTGGTTTCCCGCTGATCCGCTCAGCCCCATCCAGTCCCTGCCGCCCCCACCTGGGCCCAGCTGCTCGGGTCGAACCACAGCTGGAGGAGCCCAGCAGGCGGGGGCTGCGTGCCAAGTTTTCATCGGAAAACTGTTCCCAGCGGTTATCAGGCCATCGGCTCCGAGTGCCAGGACATGGAGCTGGGATTCTTGACATGCCTTCCTTGGAGCCAGGGGAGCACTGGGCCCCAGGAAATGGGTGACCGTCAGACAACGGATGAAGTATCTGCAGGCAGAGATGAGCTGCTTGCCTTCCACAACCACAGTGCGCAGGTCAGGAGGGACCCGGGGGCCTGGCGACCGCGGCTGAAGCCTGGCGGGTCCTCTGGATGCCCAGCGGGCCTGCAGGCGGCCCAGAAGAGGTACCGGAAGGGGACGACTCCGGACAAGTTGTCCCCCCTCCCTCAGGCCTACAGAGACCAGACACCATCAGACCCTCTTATGTCAGATCTAGGGAAACTGAGGCTCATGAGAAGAGAGTGGTGAGCCAATGCTTCCCTTGTGCCAGCTTTGTGGGTCCCCAGCTGTGAACTCAAAACCTGGCCCAGACAGCCACCCGCTGTGTGACCTGGAATATATTTGCTCAACCTCTCTGTGCCTCCAGTTCTTCCTCTTCTTCTTCTTCCTCTTCCTCCTCCTCCTCCTCTTCTTCTTCTTCTTCTTCTTCTTCTTCTTCTTCTTCTTCTTCTTCTTCTTCTTCTTCTTCTTCTCCTCCTCCTCCACCTCCTCCTCCTCCTCCTCCTCCTCCTCTTCCTCCTCCTCCTCTTCCTCCTCCTTCTTCTTCTTCTACTTTACAATTATGTCTTTTTAAAAATTATATATTTTATTGATTTCAGAGAGGAAGGGAGAGGGAGAGACAGATGGAAACATCAATGATGAGAGAGAATCATTGACTGACTGCCTCCTGCACGCCCCCTACTGGGGATCGAGCCCGCAACCCAGGCCTGTGCCCTGACCGGGAATGGAACTGTGCCCTCCTGGTTCTTAGGCCGATGCTCAATCTCTGAGCCACGCCGGCTGGGCCAGTTCTGAACATCTTGAGAGCAGTGGCCATGCAGCACCAAGGCCAAAGGCCACCCACAGCACGTGCCTCCCGGCAAGGCACGCCAACCCTCCTGGTAGCCGACCGCCTGTCCCAGGTAGAATTGCTCCACGGTGGGTTGAGAAATCCTCGCCGCCCCACCTCGCTTGGGGATCAGTGTCGCCCAATCTCGCAGGCACCGCTGCTCCGCACCGTCTCAGCCCAGGACGCGCCGGCAGAAACCGCCAGCAGGGAGCTCAGAACTCTGGGGCGAGGGAGCCTCGCGACTGAGGAGCCCAGGGGGTGAGGAGAGGCGGCTCGGGGGCTTTGGGCCCCCCAAAGTGACATGGCCTGGAGAGCCCCTTCAACAAAACCAGTAGCCCGGCCGGCGTGGCTCCGTGGTTGAGCATCGACCCAGGAACCAGGAGGTCAGGGTTCAATTCCCAGGCACCTGCCCGGGCTGTGGGCTCGATCCCCAGTGTGGGGCGTGCAGGAGGCAGCCCATCCACGATTCTCTCCATCACGGATGTTTCTCTCTCTCTCTCCCTCTCCCTTCCTCTCTGAAATCCATAAAAATAGACTAAAAAAGTAAATTGTAGCTGAATTTCAATGAGCAGCTGCTGCTCTCTGGGTGGGTCTGGATTCCCCATGAAGCCATGCCGTACGTTCCTCACGTCTGCCCATCTATGGTCACTCAAGCTCTCCAGCCCCCGGGGAGGCCCCGGGCCTGGGGGGGCCACCGTTCAGGTGCCGGCTCTTCTGGCTCCTCCGGCCCTGAGCCCGGCGAGGCCCGCGCCTCCGGCCTCCTCTCTGGCCGGAATCCCATCTGAACCGGCGCCTCCCCGGGCGCGGGGCTCAAGTTTCCATAAAGTGACTGAGAACCGAAGGGGAGCTTGTGGTCCGGCCTGCCCGGGTCCACCCACGGGAGGGGACGGAAAAGTACTCGGTGTGCGGACTGAGCCCTCGCTGTCCTAGGAGCCCGAGGGCCTGTCTCGGGACACACAGCCCTGTGAGGTCCGGCCGGCGGCCTGGCTCAGGACACTCGGCTCAGCCCTCCAGGCAGCCTTGGTCTCCCTTCTTTTCTTTTAAATATACTTTTATGGATTTCAGAGAGGAAAGGAGAGGGAGAGAGAGAGAAACATCAGTGATGAGAGAATCATGGATCGGCTGCCTCCTGCACGCCCCACACTGGGGACCGAGCCGGCAACCCGGGCACATGCCCTGACCCAAATGGAACCTGGGACCCTTCAGTCCACAGGCCAAGGCTCTATCCATTGAGCAACACCGGCCAGGCCGCCCCTGGTTTCCTTTCCAATCTGGACACACACGTCTGGGAGACGCGACAGGGCCCTGTCCCCTAGAACATTTACGTGGGTGCCCGTTCGTCACCATGGCCCGGCTGGCCTTTCGGTGCTGGGGGAACTCGGGTGACGCAGGCTCTGCCTGGCATCTGACCCAGTGCTCTCCCACTCCAGTCACACTGACCGAGCTCTCCCCCCACCCCCGCAGCCCCAGGTCTGACAGCTCCCCCCTCACCCAGGGCTGACCTCAGCCCCAATCCTGCCCCCTGACCCCTGGCAGCGACACCGGCTCCGGGAGGCCTTCTGGCTTCGTCAAGGGTTGGGTGTGTCTGTCACCCCCTCATTTTTTCTGTTTCTCTTTCCAGAGCTATTTTTTTTTGACAGCCCATCATTAGTCAGTGGACACACTTCCTTTTAAGGAAACTAGAGCATTCTTTGGGGGGCGGGGGACGGGGTATAAAGGTTGAGATTTAAATATTTTACTTTTATTTTTTTAGGGAGGACGGGAGGAGAGAAACATCTATGAGAGAGAGAAGCCTCGGTCGGTCGCCTCTTGTATGCACCTGGACTAGGGGTCGAACCTGCGACCTGGGTGTGTGTCCTGACTGGGAACTGAACTCCCGACCTTTCGGCGTACAGGACCGTGCTCCAACCAACGGGGCCGCACCGGCCAGGGTTCCTCTGACTTTTCTTTTTAGAGAGAGTGGAAGGGAGGGGGAGAGACAGAGAGAAGCAGCATCGATGTGAGAGAGGCCACATCCATTGGTTGCCTCCCGCACGTACCCCAGCTGGGGCTGGGGATCGAGCCTGCCACTGAGGTCCACGCTCTAGACCAGAACCGAACCCGTGACCCTTCAATCCTCGGGTTGATGCTCTAACCACTAAGTCAAACAGGCTAAGCCTGCAGCGGTTCTCAACCTGTGGGTCGCGACCCCTTTAGCGGTCGAACGACCCTTTCACGGGGGTCGCCTAAGACCATCCTGCATATCAGATATTTACATGACGATTCATAACAGTTGCAACATTACACTTATGAAGTAGCAACGAAAATAATTTTATGGTTGGGTCACAACATGAGGAACTGTATTTAAAGGGCCAGAAGGTTGAGAACCACTGGGCTAAGGCATCTTCTGGTATTTTTATACAAAACCCTGCCCTCCTTTTAGGCGCCCAGGGTGTGTGCCCAATGCCAGGAGGCCTCGTCCGTGTGTCCAGACCCATGCCGTGGTCTGGCTGAGTCTAGTCCAGCAGGAAGGGAGTGAGTTTGGGGGGCCATCAAGACCCTGAAATCCCAGCTTCCGTTCATGAACCTGCTCTGGGATGCTGAGTGTGTGTGTGTGTGTGTGTGTGGGGGGGGGGCTTTGTGTGCCTCAGTTTACCCATCTATCAAGTAAAGGCGTTGGACCGAGAGGCCTGTGGTGGCCCTTTGAAGTGTCAGGATCTCAGATGCTGGGGAGCAGCGAGTGGTCCCGCTTCTTGGGCGACGACAGTGGCCTGGGCTCGGCCGGACAGAGTCCCTGTTCTCAGGAACACGGGGACCGTCAGCTCTGGCCTGAAAAGTCAACCCCAAGTCAGAGATGCAACAGGACTTTTCTTAAAGGTCTATATGCCTGGCCGGCGTGGCTCAGGGGTTGAGCGTTGACCTATGAACCAGGAGGTCAGAGTTCCATCCCGGGTCAGGGCACAGGCCCGGGTGGCAGGCTCGGTCCCCAGAAGGGGGCGTGCAGGAGGCAGCCGATCCATGATTCTCTCTCATTGATGTTTCTCTCTCTCGCGCCCTCTCCCTTCCTCTCTCGGAAGTCAATAAAAATACATTTTAAAAAATAATAAAGGTCTCCAAACAGGACTGGGAAGATCGGGGTAGAGACACGATAGCCTTTTAGGGGCGGCACACCCAATGCGAGGCCGTGGTGGCTAAGAGCGGCCAGGGCCTGCAGGCTGCAGAGGCCAGACCCACCGAGCCTGGGCCCCAGCGGGAACCAGGAGGCTGAGGGCTCTGCAGGGCCGGGCCGGAGCCCCCCTGCCCCTGGGCTTGGCACAGCTGACGCTCCCTCTGTCCTCTCAAACCAGATGGCCCGCAGCTCTCGCTCCTGAGTGACTGATGCTGCTCCGTGTCCCGACACCGTCCAGCGGCCCCTCCACAACAGCGGGCACGCCTCCCTCCCCGAGGCCCAGGGGGCACCCGGCCCTTCCCGCCACCTGCCGCACTGCCCACCCCAAGCCCACCCGAGGCCCCGAGCGGCTTTCCTTCTTCGTGCAGCAATCACCACCACGCAGGCCAGGTCGTCTCAGGCAACTTTAATGAAAGTGTCAGTGGTCCCTTCCCCCACGCGGTACAGATGGTGGCGCTCAAAGGCAGAAAGGAGCTGCTGAGACCAGCCCGGGCCCGTCTCCGGTGGGAGGCGGGCGGCCCGGGGAGGACGGAACAAAGCTCAGGGCTCCAGACCCCGCAGCCAGGGCCGGGAGGCTTCATTTCTTGTTGCAGCGCCGGGGCCTGGCCGCCGAGCAGGAGCAGCAAGGGTTGCATCTGGGCTCCGGGCCTTCCTCTGCGCGCTGCTGGCTCGCCCACCCGGGGGCTGCATGTCAGAGGGACCACGGGGGATCCCTCGTGAGCCCGCCACGGCGGCCCAGCGAAGGGGCGCTTTTCCAGCGACGGAGGGGCGGCCATTCCATCGTGAAGCGCACATTCCACATAAATAAAACGGGGAGGAGGCGGGAGGGGGACGGGGCGTTGGCACAGACGAGGATGTATTGCTTTCCAGTTTCAATGCGACAGATGCAAATCACGGGAACCGGGAAGGGGACCCAGGGCGGGTGAGCTCTCCTAAGCAGTGTGTTCCCGGCAGGGCGGGAGGTTTGCTGAGGTGGTCGGGGCGGGAGCCAGGCCGGAGGGACCCCGGGAACCCACCCACCGGGCCCAGAAACGCGGAGGCCAGAGAACCCCGCGCCCTGCCCTCATCCCCCCCGGAGAGCGGGGCTGCGTTAACGCGGTGGGTCCGCTCTCCTCGGGAGAAAAAAGTCCAACTAAATAAATACAGTATGCAGACGTAAGACCTTCAGTGACCTTGTTTCCTGCCCCCTCCCCAGGGACGCGGGGCAGCGCCACCCGTTACCGGCGCGATCACGTGACAATGAAACACCTTTTCCTGAGTCACACCATGGCTTCCCTCCTCCGATGCATCATCACATCCTCTCTTCCTGCAAGACCGGCGTGGACACCTTGTCCCTTCTTTTCTCCTCGCCCCACCCTCTATTTATTTTTGAATCCTCACCCGAGGATATTTCTAGAAAGAGTAGGACAGAGAGGGAAAGACAGCGAGAAATGCTGATGTGAGAACGACACATCGATCAGGTGCCTCTTGCATGCACCCCGACCAGAGCCTGGCTGGGGAGGGAGCCTGCAACCGAGGGACGTGCCCTTGACCGGAATCGAACCCGGGACCCTTCAGTCCGCAGGCCGACACGCTATCCGCTGAGCAAACCGGCCGGGGGCCCAACCCCTTTTTTAAAAAAAGGACAGATACAATGTTCATAGACCTGTTTCTTCAAAATACTTAGTGGCTTCCCCTTCTCTTTCCTCTCAGCCAGAGGGTCAGGGGGGTTCGCAGGAATGCCAGGGGCGTGCAGAGCCGGGTGGGGGTGGGGGGCACGGCTGTCCTCCCGCCTGCTCTGGGATGCGGCTCCCGATGGACAGAGCTGGCGCTCGGAGATGCCGCTCTCCTATCTTATTAGGTATCTGAGTCTGTCCGGGGGGGGGGGCGGGGGGAATTAGAAACTATGTATAAAACTTAAAAATATTCAAGTATCAAAAGGCTATTCGGATCAAAGTTTAAAACAAGCCGATGCCGATGCCGCAAGCGGAAACTGTTACAAAAACGTACTGAGTCTGTTCAGCAGAGCGAGGACCTGAAGCCGGGGGTGGGGGTGGGGGGGGGGGGGAGAAGCTAGCGATCCAGGCCTCTGTCAGCTGCAGAGGGCAGCGTGTGCCCGGCGGGGAGGGGGCTGGGCCGGGCGGGCCGGTGGCAGGCGTCACTCTCCCTGCAGAAGGAGCCATAAAGTGCGCGGCCCGGGCCTCGCGCCCCCTGGTGGCCGGTCCCGGGTGTTACACGGGCGGCTGCCTTCCAAGGGGCACGTGATCTGCAAACACAATGCCACAGGACAGGACAGGAAAAGGACCCCTTTCTGCACAGAGATCCTTCTAGAAAGCGGGAGGAGCGAGGAAGGAGGCGGAAGGGGTCCGACGCTACACAGTGTTGACCTAGCTTTGCACGCCCTGTTGCACACAGGAGTCGAACGTTTTAAGTCAGGGAAACCCAAGCGCCCCCACCCACGCGGGGACGGGCTGGGGCCCCCACGGTGCGAAGCAGCAGCAATGTTTCTTCAAGACACGACCGTGAGGGAAGCTGCTCGTGTCCCCCTCTCCGCGGAGAGGGTGCATCTTGACAAGGGATCCAGTAGAAATCTTTGAAACTCTGAAAAGTTCATAAAAAAAAACACCCAAACAACCCCACTCCTTTCGCCTGGTCTCGGGGGCCAGGCCTGCACTCTGAGCCGTGCGTGCGGGCTTTGGGGCGCCCTCTGGTGGCGGGAAGCCAGAGTCGGAGGCCAGCGGGAGCTCAGGGGCCCAGCACTGTCCAGGCCACTTGGCCTCCTGCCTTGGGCAGCGAGCTGTCTCTTGGCAGAGGGCCTCGCTCTCGGGGGGCGCCCGGGGACGCCTCAAGAAGATGCGGTTCCTGCTCCGTGGCGGCCTGTCTCGCCGGGAGCGTCCCAGGCCGTTCTGCCGGCTTCTCGGAGACGGAGTCGGGCCGTTAGACTTCCGTGGAGAACAGGATGCTCTGTCGCTTGCTGTCGGGAGCAGGGATGGCCTCCAGCTGCAGGAAGTACAGCAGCACCTGGACCTGCCGGGCACAGCAGGGGGAGGGGGGGCAGCTCAGAGGGGCGCTCACAGCGCAGGCGGGAGGTCCTCCCGACCAAAGGCCGGGGCGCGGTCACTGAGGCCCTGAGGCTGGCTCGGGGTGCGGAGGGCTCCTACGCGGCCATGAGCCCCTCACAGCAAGACACCGGGGTGCCCCTGAAGGACCACCCCGAGAAGCCCAGTAAGGTGCAAAGGGAAGAGGCCTCCCTAGGCGGGTCCCTCTTGGCCACCTCCCCTGTACAATTAAAAAAAATATATATATATATATACATATATATATATACATATATATATTTGCATTGATTTTAGAGAGGAAAGGAGAGGGAGAGAAACAATGAATGAGAGAGAATCATTGATCAGCTGCCTCCTGCACGCCCCCTATTGGGGATCGAGCCCGAAACCCGGACATGTGCCCTTGACTGGAATCGAACCCAGGACCCTTCAGTCCTCAGGCCGATGCTCTATCCACTGAGCCAAACGGGCTAGGGTTCCCCTGTACAAAAATTTTTTTTTTCCCCCTGTACAATTTGAGTGGCGCCTGGCAGGACTCTGGGGGGAGCAGGCAGAGGCCACACCTGGGTGAGGCTGGGTGCCATGGGCTGGAGCCCGTCTGCTCGTACCTGGGACATGACCTCCAGGGACCAGCTGTCAGTCATGGAGATGGGCTGGCCGGGGGTGGCGGGGAGCTTGCTCTCCTTCTCCGAGGGCCGCAGCAGCGTGGGGCCGAAGACCGTGGCGAGGTTGTGCAGGGACATCTTGTTCACCGTCTCCTTCTCGGCCACCCTGTGAGAGGCCGAAGCACAGGGTGCTGTTGGGACGCCCCCTCCAGGACAGAGGGGAGACCCAGGGCCGGGCCACCCCAGAGTCCTCAGGGAGCGTGGTGATGGGCCCCTCTGCCTTGGGCCGGCGCCACAGCAGAGCTGACCCGCCCCTGGCTGTGCTGGAGGCAGACCCACCCTCGTGCTCCTGGGTCTGAGGGGCCCAGATGGACAGGACCTGAGGCCAACAGGTGGCGGGGCCAACCCTGGGCCATGACCTTGGCCGGGACGGGGTGGGTGGGGTCCAAGCATTTCACTCCCCCCCCCCAATATATTTTATTGATGTCAGAGAGGAAGGGAGAGGGAGAGAGAGAAACATCCATGATGAGAGAGAATTATCGATCAGCTGCCTCCTGCACGCCCCCCACTGGGGACGGAGCCCGTGACCCAGGCATGTGCCCTGACCGAGAATCGAACCATGACCTCCTGGCTCATAGGCCGATGCTCAACCACTGAGCCACGCTGGCCGGGCAAAGCACCTCACGTTAAGGCCGGGTGCAGAGGGGGCGGTGGTGAGAGGGAAGAAGGTGGCCGTGGCTCTAGTGCCCAGAGCGGGTGGGTGACCCCTGGTGCCAAGGAGTCTGAGGGGAGCCCACGGGCGCAGAAAGCGCTCCCCCGAGGCAGAGCAGGGGGTACCTTTTCAGGTGGTCCAGGAGGAAGAGGAAGGTCAGCAGGTTGGCTTCGGGGAGCGACAGCAGCAGGTTCAGCATGCAGCTCTCCTTCGCCACAGGGTCTGACAGAGCTGCGGGGGAGGGGGGGAGGGAGGCCTGTCACTTCTTGGGGTCACTGGGCATAGGACAGCCAGGGCGGTCATCCTCGGGCTCACACGGTTGGGAGCCTGTGACAGGAGCCTGTGTGGGGCCGAGCCCCTTGGGACACCTTCTCTCTGTCTGAAAGGGGTCAAAGGCACCACGGGGAACACCCACTCGGCCATTCCTGCCTCCTGCTCAGAACAGCCCGAGGCACGGGGAGCCACGTACGGAATGAGACAGGCAGCCCGAGGGGCAGGAGGCTGCGAGGCCCCGGGGACCCCCTATCACCCTGTTCACGATCGGGGGACGAGGTCCCCAATCGAACAGCCCGGAGGCAGGGTGCAGAGGCTGCAGCTGCCCCTACACCAGCGCACCCCCCCACCCTCTGGACACTACCCCGCCTTTTGACCTGGCGTCAGCCCGGCTTTGAAGGCGGGCGCGCTGATGTATCAGGACCTGGCGTTAGGGGAGCAGGACAAGGGCTCTAGGGAGGAGGATGAGGAGCCATCGCGACCCCATCCCCACCCCCGGGCATGTACCCAGCTACTCAGAGGGGCGGGGACAGAAGGTGCACGGAGGACAGAGGGAGGCCTTCGAGCACCGGCTCGGGGCTGGGTGCCCCTGGCATGCACAGAGTCTGGGCTGAACCCCGGACCGAGGCGGGTGGGGGGGGGGGGGGCATGCGGACCAGAGGGGAGGGGGAGGTGCTCCCATGCTCGCTCACCGATGCCCTCGGCGAAGTTGGGGTAGAACTCGTCGGTGAAGAGCGGCTCTGGCAGCTCTCGGAAGTAGAGCTTCAGGGTGCCCGCGATGGCGTTGACGTCCATCTCGCTCATCATCACGGACACGTCCTTGTTGTCTGGACAGAGCACAGGGGAGGAGATGCTACCCCACGTCCTGCAAGGGCCTGTTCCCCGGCCTGGCTGCCTGCCTGCCTGCGGGGCGCCTCTCCCCTTAGCCACTCACCCCACTCCTTCCCAGCCTCCTCCCCACACCGCCCACTGGGCGAGGGGCAGCTGGGGAAGGAGGAAAGAATGGTTGGGGGGGGCGGCTGGATCCTGAACCAACGCCCAGCTGCAGTGCGTTTTTATTTGTTGTTAAGCCTCATTTTCCACTGACTTTTAGAGAGTGGAAGGGAGGGGGAGAGACAGAGGAACATGGATGTGAGAGAGACACATCAATGGGCTGCCTCCCTGCACATGCCCCGACCAGGGCCAGGGATCGAGCTGGCAACCCGGGCCTATGCCCTTGACGGGAATCGAACCCGGGACCCTCCAGTCCACAGGCCAATGCTCTATCCACTGACCCAAACCAGCCGGCTGGATGTGGTGTCTTCTGACAACAGGAAGACACGGTTACGTGTTCCATTTCAGGGGTTAAGCCAGCGCCTTCCCTGTGGGCTGCGGTGGCCACTGAGGGCCCCCTGGGGTCTGGGTGTCTTTGTCAGCTTCCTGGTGTGCGGAGGGGAGGGAGACAGAGACCCGCAGGCAGCCGGGCCCTCGCACGGCCTTATCGCCGGGCAGCCACGCTGGCCCTGGGCTTCGGTCGGCACCTCTGCGCCCCGTGCTGCCCCCCGTGCTGCCCCCCCAAAGAGCAGCCTGAGCCCCAGCCAAAGCCCCCGGGGAAGCCCTGGTCCAGCTCAGCAAGAGCCAGGCCTGGTCCCAGGGGCTGAGGACCGGGGCCGGCGGAATCGCCGCCCACAACCGTTTTCTCCTCACTTTTAGGAACGAGAAAGCGCAGAGCGCGATACCAGCACAGGCCCCGAGGGCGCCCCGGAGACAGCACGGCCACCCGCCCACACCCGCCCACGCTGCCCGGGGCCGCACTCACTGACGTCGAAGGCCGCCTTCAGCGCCTGGATGTCCGTGGCCACGCCGGACACGCGGTAGATGCCCACCTCCTCCATGCCCCGGCGCTCGATCTCCTCCACGCACTGGCGCACGATGTAGGGCACCTTGGACCTCTCCCTCCTGCGGGGAAGGGGCGCACGTGAGTGCCCGGCGGCCCCGTGTGAGCCCCGGGGCGCAGCCACTGCCTGTCCGACGCCTGGAGCCGGGGGCGGTGAAGGCGCCAGGTGAGAGCTCCTGGCTGACCCGTGACCCGGGGGGGGGGGGGGGGGGGGGATCGCCATCCTGCAACGGGGACCCAGGTCGTGACAGACCCAAGTTGGGGAGAGACCCCTGCCCTCGCAGTCCCGGGGGTGGGGGGCGTGTGTGGGCCAGCCCCCTGCATCGGGAAGGAATAAGGACACTCCCGAGCCTGTAGGGTAAGCTGTGCAGGAAACATGGGGGCAGCTAGGCACCCCGTGTCCCCGGGCCTGGGAGGCAGCCACCGGGCCGTCCACAGAGGGGAGACCCGCGTGCGCTCTGTCCTCCAGAAACACCTCAGGAGGGGAGGGGGGTGGACAAGAGTCCCGAGAGCCCGAGCCCCCGGACACGCACTTGGTGACCACGGCGATCTTGACCCCGAAGACGCCCGTCTGCTTCCGGGACGGCATCCTCTTCAGGCTGAACTCCCTGCTGGTGAACTTCACCGAGAGCTTCACCTCGATCTGGGGGAGGAGACGGCACGGCCCTGTCACCCTCTGGTCCTCACAGCCCAGGATCCGGGGCGCATCTCCCCACCCCGGGGGCAGGCGGGCCCAGATCCCAGCGCCAGGCGGGACCGCCGCCGGGACGCCCGGGCCGAATCAGCAGGAGCAGGACGGTGCGGGCGGTGGAAGGACCAGTTTGGCGGAACCTCCCCCCACGACCCCACTGCTTCTCTTTTTAATTTAATTTTTTGACTTTTTGCTTGTTTCTCTCTCTCTCCCTCTCTAAAATGTCTTAAATTTGCCAATTCACTTTTTTGTTTTTTAAGCCTCACCCGAGGGTATTTTTCCGCTGATTTTTAGAGAGTGTGGAAGGGAGAGGGAGACAGAAACGAAGGGCCCTGAGGGCTCGTCAGGGGACCTGCCTGTCCTGGCGGTGCCACTGGCCTCGTGCTCGGGAGGGATGCCCAGTGCCCGGCCGCTGGCTGCGCTCCACACCCCACGTGGGTCCCTCGCTCCCGGTGCAGCGGCTCCGCTTTTCGGGCCTCCCCCTCCTCCAGCCCCCCTCCCTCCTACACGAGCCGGGGCCATGCTCACCTGCTGGGGTGAGCGGGGGGGGGGGCCCCTAGAACCCCGCGGGTACATACCCCATTCATGGCGATGACCGTCCGCTGCCAGTCTCTGTCCTGCAGGGCCTGGGGGTCCAGCTGAAAGCAAGGGGTCACGATTACCAGAGGCCCTGGGACCCGTGCCGAGGCCCCACCAGGCCGCAGCCCACGCCTGCTGCTCCTCCACAGCGAGTGGCAATGCACGCCGCACCTGGGCCAGCACCTCTATCCCGGGCCAAGGGGCCCCCGGGGGGGAGAGCACCTGCTGGGCACCTGGGACCCGAGAGCCCTCCTGCTCCCGACCGCTGTCCCCTGGGGCCGGGGACACCTGTGTGTGAGGTGGTGACGGCTTGGGCCCTCCTCCCTGCTCCTCCCTCCATCCCGTCCAGATGGGAGCTGAAGTCCATGCTGGCAGTCCAGGAGCTGGGCCCCCCCTGCCCCCCCTCGTCAACCCTCACAGGTGCCACCTACGCTTAGCCAGGGCTGAGTCCTCGCTCTAAGTGACAATTCTGGACGCCCCATTTCACCCTCCCACAGCATGTGCTGGGTCTGCGGTCTGGCCGTGGGGCCTGGTGCCCAGGAGGGGCCTCCCGCTGGGCCAGGCTTGTGGCTTAGAGTCTGGCCCAGAAGGAGCCAGTGCCCAGCTCCCAATCACGATGCTGGGGACCTGGGGCGCTGGCCTGCAGGACTCCGCTATCAGAGTCACCTAAGGAGGGCCCGGCCCGGCCGGCTAGCAGCCGAGTGTCGACCTAGGAACCGAGAGGTCAGGTTCGATTCCGGCCAGGGCACAGGCCCAGGTTGCGGGCTCCATCCCCAGTGTGGGGCCTGCGGGAGGCAGCCGATCTCTCTCTCTGCCCCTCTCCCTCCTCTCTCTAAAAATCAATAAAACCGTATTTAAAAAAAAAAAAAAAAATCAAAGAACTGAGACTTGGCCAACGCAGCCGACCAGCAAAGGGACAGGGAGAGGAGGGGACGGAGGCCCCTGCCGGACACAGCTCCCCCCGGGGAGACAGCACGGCCCCGCTGGCCCACCTTGCCCTTGCACAGGAGGTTTCGAAGGTGGGTCCACAGGGTGGTGCCCGGAGCGCACAGGTGCTTGTCCGCACAGACCCCCGGGCTCCGGTGGAAGCAGCGCAGGAGGCCCCGCATGGCGGCCGGAGCGGCCGGCGCCTTTCGCATCCTTGTCCCGCTGGTGGCTGGTCGGAGGGCGAGCAGGGCTGGGCGGGAGGCTGGACGGGCAGCCCCGGCCTCCGCAGCCTTTTGACTGGGGTTCGCAGGAAGCCCCGCCCCTGCAGCCTGGCTCGCCAAGGTCAAAGCTTCCTCTGACCCTTCAGTTTTCGACTTTTTTTTGGCCTCTGTTTGGAAAAAACAGCCCCGCCAGCAGCCGATTGGTTACGGGAACTGTGTCGCATCACGGTTTTCTCCAAAGCCCAGAAAAGCCCAATTTCCTTCTCCAGGGGCCGTTTCCTGTGGGCGCTGGAAACGCTGAGTAACGCGGCTGCCTGGCCCGTGCATCGCATGGCGGGAGGCGCCCCGGGGACACCCCCAGGGCCTGCACACCCCAGCCAGTTACCCCAATAATGGCACGCACTGCCTTGGACGGACAGAGCTGAGGACACCCCACGCCTGTCCCTCCTGGATAGCTGGCCCGGTGACAGGGGATTCGGTGCCATCGTCCACCCCCAGCACCGAGGTCCAGACCCCCCACCACCCGGCCCAGAGGCCGCGGCAGGAGCTGGCCTGCAGGCGAGACCCGGGCCACCGGCCACAGGCTGCAGGGGGCTCCGCCCTGGGCCCGGCCCTCGCAGTGGCCCTGGACGGCGGCTCTGGTGGGAGCGGCCACCCCCGGGCTGGCTCGGTTCCAAAGCACAGAGCGTGCTAAGCCGAGCGGAAGCAGCCAGAAGAATAACACGGCGACGAGGAGGCCGAGTGTCGCCCCGCGGCCCCAGACAACAGTCGAGGCTGGCAAGCTCTGTCGGCGACTGTGAAAGCCCCAGCGAAGTAAACAAGTGGGGGGTTTGGGAAAACAGACGGCCAGCAGCCAGCACCAGGAAGGGGACGTCTCGGGGAAAATGTGAGGGTGCTCCCGACGCCACCTGGGGGTCTCCGGCCGCAGTGCCGCTCGGGGGATGGGGCCTGGGCGGCAGGTGATGTCTGCTCACACCCAGTGTTCTCAGGAGAATGGTCTGGATCCTGCTCGTCTCCCTAGAGCTGTGGGCCTGGTGGCCGGCTGCCCTGAAGTCTGCCTAGGAAACTACCCTTTGGGGCTCTGTGGTTAACCTTCGACCTATGAACCTGGAGATCACGGTTCGATTCCTGGTCAGGGCACACGCCCGGGTTGTGGGCTCGGTCCCCAGTGTGGGGTGTGCAGGAGGCAGCTGATCCATGATTCTCTCTCATCATGGATATTTCTCTCTTTCTCCCTCTCCCTTCCTCTCTGAAATCAATAAACATATATTAACAAAAAACAAAACAAAAAACTACCCTTTGCACCCATTCCAGGAGGCGGGGGGGCGGGGGGGGGGCGGGGCAGAAGGGCCTGTCCAGGCAGGGCAGGCACTGATACGCCCGGAGCGGCCTGGCCGAGGACCAGAGCTGGCCTGCTTGCTTGGTGGTTGGCAAGGCCAGCTGGGGCACCCGTGGACTGGCACGGGGACCCACTCCCCCGCCCTCTGCCGGGGGGGGGGGGGGCAGCACGGAGCTGTGCTCAGGAGGAAATGCCATTCCCTCCTCACCCGCCTCCTTGGAGACGGCGGTCTCCTCTGTGCCATCACCGCCCAGAATGGACCGAGCGCTTCCCCGGCTCCTGACTGAGCCCCAAGTGTTTGCACATCACCCACTCCCTGGGGCGGTTTTCTTTCTTTAAAAACAAACCGAACATATATTTTAAAATGTATTTCCGAGAGGGAAGGAAAGGGAGAGGGAGAGACAGAAACCTCAATGACGAGAGAGAATCATGGGCCGGCTGCCTCCTGCACGCCCCACACTGGGGATGGAGCCCACAACCCGGGCAGGTGCCCTGACCGGGAGGGAACTGAACCATGACCTCCTGGTTCACAGTCGATGCTCAGCTACGGAGCCCCACCGGCCGGGCGTCTGGACCTGTTCTTGCACCCGTCAGACACCCATGGGTGCTGCGCCTTCCCCTCCTCACAGGAAGTGCTCTCCACTCAGCTTATGAGTCAAAGTGCGTATGGGGGGCAGGGAGCACCTGGGAGGGGGACAGGCCATGCACTCCCCACCCCCCAGGTCTCCACCCCACCCACCACGAGCAGCAGGACCGCCCGCCCGCCCGCCCACATGGCACTAGGGAGGCGCCGGGAATGGCTGGGAAAAGCCTGGTCTCAGGGGGCTGGGTCCCGGGCATGGAGGTGCTCCCCCAGGCGCCCCACACAACAGCACCCACAGGGTCAGGGAGCAGGAGGCCTGGCTGGGGTGTGGGGCCTCATCACCTCTCCTCCTCCTCCTCCTTCCTTCCTTCTTCCTCCTGGGGATCCCGGTGCATTAACAAGCCGCGGGGAGCCCAGGTCTCCGGGAGCCCAGCCAGCCCACTCGGGCCTGAGTCACAAACATCCTCTCCCGCTGGCCGGGCGGGATTCCTTCCTGGCGGATGATGCTCGCGGCCAGACCAGACTTCCCATCAGCCCTCCCTCCGGGGCAGAGGCCAGGGGTGGGGCCCAGCCGCCTTCTCCACCACCAATGACCACAGATCAGAATGACAGCAGCTGCGGACACCGAAGGGCCCACCCCAAGGTACAGGTGTGGGGAGAGACAGACACACACACACACACACACACACACACACACACACACACACACGGAAGGTGAGATGACTCCGCACAGCCACGGGAGGTGTGGCAAGGGAGCTGACAGACGTCTCTCCTTGAGCAAACTCTAGCCAGGCTGCTCCAGGCTGTTTTCCAGGGAGGCCTCCTCCTGGCACATCCTCTGAGCCCAGTGATAAGACAGAAGAATCCTGCTATGTCAGTTCGGCCAGAGGCCATCCCTGATATCTGATGGCCCTTAACAACTGACCCAATTTCTTATTCTCCTCTGGCCCCCAGGTGATGTCTGACTCCAGACCCCGCCCCCAGGCGAGGTCTGACCCCCTGACCCCGCCCTGGCCTGCCTCTGACAGGAGCCCCATTAGGTCTGGTCAGCCAGAACCCTCCCACCCTGATGTTTTCTCTGACTGCCGTCCACTGACACCCCCTCACCCTACTCCTGGGCTAGAAGTCCCCACTGTTCCTTGTCGGGGGTCAGAGTTGAGCCGCACCCCCCTCCCCTGTGGCAAAGCCCCAGGACAGGGCTCCCTACACTCCTCTCGGGAGCCGCTGGGTCTGGGGGACAGGAAGTGACTGTCGTGGGAACGAGGACATGGCTTTGGGGTGATGGGAATGTTCTACAACTGGGCTACTGGTGATAAATAAAGTCTGTTTTTATTATTGTTATTTTTTTAAGTCCTCTCCCAAGGATATTTTTCCATTGATTTTTAGAGAGAGTGAAAGGGAGGGAGAGGACAGAGAGAGAGGAACACCAAGGTGGGAGAGACGCACTGATTGGTTGCCTCCTGCCTGCGTCCCGACCAGGGCCAGGGATTGGATCGAACCTGAAACCCAGGTGCGCGCCCTTGACCAGGAATTGAACCTGAAACCCTTCGGTGCCCAGGCCGACGCTCTCACCACTGAGCCATACCAGCCAGGGCAAGATCATCATGCTTTTCCCAGAAGCGCCGGCCTCATAACCCTTTGCCTTGAGGAACCAAAGCCCAGATGGATAAACAAGTGGAACTGGACTTCCTTTGGGGACACACTGGGGCCTAACGGACACTCACACAGACAGACAGACAGACGGGTGGAGGCGGCGCAGTCTCACCTGGACCTGGCCCTTCCCCATGATCCTGTCGGTGCTCTCGCCGTCCTCCTTCGCGATCTTCGTTTTGTTGTAACACTTCTCGTAGCACAGGATCCTCAAGGTCTGGGAGCCCTCCAGCTCGATCTCAAACTCCTGCAGCGCCGGGAAAGGACAGCCCCACGTTAACAGCCGGGTCCGAGGGCGGCGGTCCCTGCCGCGGCCGCAGGGGCCCTCCGCGGGGCGGCGTCTCCCAAACCGCTCCTTCGCTGCCCCCGGAGGACCGGGCCTGGAGGCCGCCCCACTGCAGCCCAGGGATGCAGACCCCAGACGCTACGGCCCCGTGAGCATCACACCGCGACCCTGTCTGGATGCTTCTGGAAGCTCCGAATGACTCATGTTGTTGTTGCTAATCCTCACCTAAGGATATATTCCCACTGATTTTTAGGGAGAGTGGAAGGGAGAGGGCGAGACAGAGAGAAACACGGATGAGAGAGAAACACACCGATGGGTTGCCTCCTGCACGAGCCACGACCAGGGCCCGGGCCGGGGAGGAGCCTGCAACCACTGATCCAAGCAGCAAGCGCCGAATGACTCTCAAACCTAATCCCAGCCCCCGAAGCCAGCAGCTCACAGGGCGGCGGGTCCCCACACGGCCTGCACCAGCTCCGGGGAGGGGCTACAGAGGCAGACATCGTATGGACGGCCTTTGGGAGATGATGATGTATCCGCATAGGTTCGCTGGCTCTAACACATGTCCCATCCAGGGGCTGTGCATGTGTGTGTGTGCGTGTGTGTATGTGTGCATGCATGTGTGTGTGTGCGTGTGTGTGTGTGCGTGTGGGGGGAGAGGGTATAATGAGAAACCGAGGTCCTTTCTGCTACACTTTGTTGTGGACCCGAAGCTGCTCTTTCTATATCTGAAAGGGAAAAAACCACCGATGCAGGAGGTGATCGGGAGAGAGGGGGGCTTCAGAGGAAAGACCTGCCCCAAAGGCTTTCGGGGTGTCTGCTGGGAGGTGTGTCACCTTTCTCCTCCGTCACCCCACAGACCTTCAGGCCATTCTGCACCTCACACCAATGCTTCTGGGGGTCTGGGCGTTTTTTTAGACATATATATACTAGAGGCCCGGGGGTCCCTTGGCCTGGCCTGTGGGGATCGGGCCGAAACTGGCTCTCCGACATCCCCCAAGGGGTCCCGGATTGCAAGAGGGTGCAGGCCAGGCCGAGAGACCCCACCAGTGCACGATCGGGCTGAGGAGGGGCCGCGGGAGGGCTCCAGGGCGTGTCTGGCCAGTCTTGCCCAGTCCTGATCGGCCGGATCCCAGCAGCAAGCTAACCTACCGGTCGGAGCGTCTGCCCCCTGGTGGTCAGTGTGTGTCATAATGACTGGTTGAACAGTTGAACAGGACACTTAGCATATTAAGCTTTTATTATATAGGATTTTTTTTTTTTTTTTTTACGGATTTCAGAGAGGAAGGGAGAAGGAGAGAGACAGAAACATCAATGATGAGAGAAAGTCATGGATCAGCTGCCTCCTGCATGCCCCCCAACTGAGGATGGAGCCTGCAACCCGGGCATGTGCTCTTGACCAGGAATCGAACCTGGGACCCTTCAGTCAGCAGGCCAACACTCTATTCACTGAGCCAAACCAGCGAGGGTTTGAGCATGGGATCTTAGTGGGATATGGAGAAGAGTTGGGGGGGTGGGGGTGGGGGAGAAAGCAGGTATTTCTGAGCCAGAATGGGGTTGGGGCGGGGCTGTGTGTGCCAGGAACAGGTAAGACCCCTAGAGACGCTGAAGGCACCGCCTGGGCAGTTGCTGGGTGACCTGCTGCTGTGGCACTCCTGTGCCGGGGTCCCACACACCCTTCCACCCCCACCCCAGCTCGCAGCTGAGCTCGCTGCATGTCCGGAACCCTCCTCCTCCCTGCCCGTTGGGTCACAACCTTCTTGCTCTCTGCAAAGCTTTCTGTGACGGATGCCCCCGGCTCTGACCCGTCCCTCACGCAGCCCTTTCTGCAGGGACGCCCGGGGCTCCCGCGACCAGGCAATGCCCTCAGCTTCTCGGGCCCCAGCCCCAAGGAGGCAGCAAGTCTAACGACCTGAGCAGTGGATGCTGGGAACTGACACCTGGGTTCTGGCCCCACCACCCCACCAGTCGCAGGGCCCATCGGGGACCAGGCAGCCTGGTGGGTCTTAGCTTCCCGCTCTGCAGGGAAGGGGAGGGGCGGTGGGGGCGGTGGGCGTGGTGGTGGCAGCTCTGGGCAGCCTGGCAGCCTCCACCCACCCTCCACCCGAGGGCCAACGGCTGCTCCAGGGGCCTGGAAATGGCGCCTCTCAAAGATCTGGGGCTTCATCAAGACTGGCCACGCTGCCATCAACGGCTCCAGGCAGGCCCGCTGGGCAAGCGGGTCACCCAACCGCTCTCCGAGGCGGAGGAACACAGAGAGCAACCCACACACCCGGTGCCTGGGACAAGCAAAGAGGACCCTTCCGGTGCCCAGGTCTCCAAGCCCAGGCCCCCACTCCCACCCTCCCCACCCCGCCTCCCGGCAGAGCCCTGAGCTTCCGGAAACCAAGTGGGTCACAGAAGACTCATTCCAACTTCGCAGGAAAAATGCCATGGAAACTTACCAAGTAAACACTCAGCAATAACAAAGGCAGCACAAAAGGCCCTTTTAAGTTCTTTTTCCAAACACTCCTCCAGCAAAATCGGTCATTTCTTTGTCATGGGGGAGGGAAGGCAAACTTCTCGGGAAGATGCAGATAACATCTCTCGGGCAAGCCACCCCTCCCCCAGGAGATTCCCGGAATGCGCGGCCTTCGGGGGAAGCCTTGGGGAGCCTCTGGGGGTTCGGACTCCTCCCAGGACAAGGGCAGCAGCCAAGAACTGTGGGAAGGGGTGCCTCACCTCGTTCCAGTTGGGCTCAGCCGTGTCCCTGTAGACGCGCGTCTTGGCTTTGTTCACAAAATACCCAAAGGAGTCCACCTCCAGGGTGCAGTACAGATCTGCGGGGGCGACACAGAGGGTGACCACACGGCCCACACTTCAAAAAAATGTATTTTTTAATTGATTTCAGAGAGGAAGGGGAAGGGAGAGAGAGATAGAAACATCAATCAATGATGAGAGAGAATCACTGATGGGCTGCCTCCTGCACGCCCCCTACTGGGGATCGAGCCCACAGCCCGGGCATGTGCCCTGAGCGGGGTGGGGGTGTGTGGGGGGGGGATGTGTGGTATTGAACTGTGACCTCCTGGTTCATAGGTCGACGCTCAACCACTGAGCCACATTGCCCAGACAACCCACATTCAAAAGAGCGGGCGTTACTTTTGAAATCAGAAAAAATGGTCTTGATTTTCTTTCTTCTTTTTTTGGGGGGGTTAATCCTCACACGAAGATATTTTTTTCCATTGATTTTTAGAGAGAGTGGAAGGGAGACTGAGAGATGAGAGAAACATCGATGTGAGAGAGACACATGGATCGGTTGCCTCCTGCACGCACCCCGACCAGGGCCGGGGAACCTGCAACGAAGGTACGTGCCCTCGACCAGAATCAAACCCGGGACCCTTCCCTCCGCGGGCCGACGCTCTATCCACTGAGCCACACCAGCTAGAGCTCCACTGCGTGGTGGATGGGAGGGCCCCTGGGACTAGGAAGAAGGGAGTCTGTGCACCGAGGGAGGCAGGACGGGTGCCCCCTGGACACACCAGCATTTAGGTGGGGGACAGCCCGAGAGGCACCCGGAAGAGCTGTGCGTGCTGCAGCCTTGCAGGGGTGTCACCTGCACGCTGTGCAATCCGTCCATCGCGAGGGTACGGCTTGAGGGTCTTCAGTCAATTTAAACACGTGTGCCCACCGGGAGGTACAGGTGACCGGCCCGCACTGCTCTACCTACTCCAGCAGCTGGGAGAGGCCCCCGGGAGGGACTCCTCAGAGCAGCCAAAGCGACGCTGCCCATCAGGACCCACGAGCCCCTGACCGCCGCCCTCCCGGCCTGGAGCCTCGCTCACTGGTCTGTCTGTAGCCAACTCCAGCCCCTTCAGTGACAAGCCCCACCAGCAGGGGTCAGCGCACCCGCTCACAGGACCGGAGACGGGCATGGGAAAGGGCAAGGTCCACCCCAGGAAAACAGCTCCACACCCCGGGCCGCACCCCCAGGGCTCAGGGCTCAGGGCTCACAGCCGCCTGATGGTCACTGGAGTCACTTCCCTGGTCCCACACCCTCTGGCTCCCCGCCCGCCCGGCCGCCTTCCTTCCCAGACCGGACACTTACTTGAGCTCTGCTTAAAGCCGGCGGCCGAGTGGACGATGACATTCAGGAAGCCGTAGAGGCCGGGAGACTCATCGTCTGTGCAAGAGACAGAGAGGTGAGCGTCTGTCCATCTTGGGAGAGGGCGGCAGGGGACAGGCTCGCCTCCCCCATCAACCCTCAGGGGCACCCTGTGGTCGCCATGTGCCCAGCAGGGGTCAAGGCGACGCCACAGACCGGAAACATCCACGTGGCCTGTCTTGGGTACCTGAGGATCTAGCATTTCTGTTTTTGTTTTAAATATATATTTATTGATTTCAGAGAGGAAGGGAGAGGGAGAGATCGGAATATCGATGATGAGAGAGAATCACTGATTGGCTGCCCCCCGCACACCCCCTACTGGGGATCGAGCCCACAGGCTGGGCATGTGCCCTGACCAGAATGGAATTGAACCGTGACCTCCTGGTTCCTGGATCAATGGCTTAATCCCTGAGCAACCCCAGGGAGGCAGGCTTGGGTTATTTTCACAACACAGGGAGACCAGTGACCGAGAACAGGAGAGGGGTCACGGGAGCGTGTGACATGGATGGGGGGGATGTGTGCACAGCGTATACCTGTGTGTGCGACCAAGTGTACACCAGTGTGTGCAACAGTGAACCAAAGGTGCTGGCTGGGGAGGGCGGGGGGGGGGGGCAGGGGGACAGGGGAGGGGGGCCAGCCCTGGTGCCCAAGGAGTCTGAGGAGTGTCTCGGGATGGGGGCGGGGCAATGGGTCTCCTCAATCACCAGCTGTGGGGCCAGACAGCACCTGTCCTGCCCCGCCCACTCCTGGGAGAGGCCAGTGGGGACGGAAGGCCACGGTCCCCAGGTCAGACGGACGGCAGAAAGGGATGCGCGGGGGCGGGGGGGGTCCCACCTTCTTTGTTGATGGTCAGGGGGATGCAGTGGACCGTCTGGAGTTTGACGCACGAGTTGGTCAGCATCTGCAGCTCCACGGACGTCAGGGAGAAGCTTTTGAAACCTGGGGGGGGGGGGGTGTCGGCACAGGCGCTCGGACCTTTCCGGGGGGACGCTTTCTGATGCGCCCCCAACTGCACCCTTGGCACACCCTGGTGAGAGGGCACGACAGGCGGGCGAGACCTCCCAGCGAAGGAAGTGGTGCGTGACAGAGCGAGCTATGGCCCCGGAGGCCCCGGAGGCGCCGAGCAGGAGAAACCCCAGCGTAACCCTCACAGACGGGGGTCAGCCACTCCCCGGCACGGCCACGGGAGTTCTTCCTTCTCTCTCTTTTTTAAAAAAATATACTTTTGTTGATTTCCGAGAGGAAGGGAGAGGGAGAGAGAGATAGAAGCATCCATGATGAGAGAGTCATGGACCGGCTGCCTCCTGCACGCCCCACACTGGGGAAGAAGCCCGCAACCCGGGCCTGGGCCCTGACCGGGAACCGAACCCGGGACCCTTCCTTCTGTCTCCAGGCCGACGCTCCATCCACGGAGCCACACCGTCCGGGCCACCGAACATCTCATGGGAGTCCCACTACTCGGGGAACAAGAAGGTCTGAAGCCACAGGTGAGAACCGTTCCGCCCCGACCCCCAGACACGGCTCCCTCCGCGCGGGGGCCACTCACACTTCTTCTGCTGCTCGCGGATGTTCTCCCGCCACTCGGCGCGCTCATAGTCGGAGGAGATCAGGAACGTGTAGCTCTGGGGGGGGGGAGAAGGCGCCCCGTTACCTCTGCCCCAGCGAAGCTGCTCCCTGTCCCTGTCCGCACGGGACACCACCCTCCGGGGCACGCGCACCTTTGTGCCTCTGGCCGGGCACGCACAGGGGGACAGTCCTAATGGGTGGGAGCCAGGGACCAGGAGGGCCGGCCTGGGGAGCGGGAGGGGAGCAGGGGGAGCGGAGGGAGGGGCGGGGAGGGGCGGGGGGGGAGCGGGAGGGGGGGAGCGGGAGGGGGGGAGCGGGAGGGGAGCGTGAGGGGAGTGGGGGAGCGGGGGTGGGGGGGGGCCCGGGTGGCAGGGCGAGCCGGCGCGGCACGGACCTTGCCATGGCGGCTGTGCACCCGGAAGGCCATGCTCGGCGACATGAGCAGGAGCAGGGATTCCTGCTCCGACAGCTTCTTCTTCAGCCTCTCGATGGCCTTGCTGCCCTTGTTGGCTCTCTGCGGGGAGAGGTCGCGGTCACATCCCCGGCCCGGGGGCCAGGGCCACCTGGTCCCGCTCGGCCAGTGCCCGTTCCCCCGATGCTCAGCCCTCAGACGCCAGGAATGCCACTGGCAGCTCAGCCCAGCACAGCGCCTTGGTCAGCTGCTGCCGGCTCCAGGGTCAAGGGTCAGGGCCGGGCACAGGCTGCTGGCCGTGCTCAGCCAACCTCCCTATTTTGGTTAATCCTCACAGGAGGGTATTTTCCCGTTGCTTTTAGAGAGAGTGGAAGGGAGCGGGGAGAGAGACACATCGATTGGCTGCCTCCCATATGCGCCCTGACCAGGGCCAGGGAATGAACCGGCAACCCAGGTACGTGCCCTGGACCGGGAATCGAACCCGAGACCCTTCGGGCCCGGGCTGGTGCTCTAACCACTGAGCATCACAAGGGCAGAGGAACGACCTTTACAAACCTCCCTTCTTTCAATTTCTTCAAACCTGGACACTGTGCAGGGGCCGCTGTGACGCCGAGGGCCCCTCCCCACTCCTGGGACCACACACATTTCAGCATCAGGCCCCCCAGAGCGTGTGGGAGGGTTTGCACGGGGGGCCCGGTGCACCCCCAGGACCTGGTCGGGGAAACCCTGCCTGCCGGGTGCCATGCGCCTCCCTCTGAAGGCCCCCCCACCCACCATCCCGGGCAGACCTGACACTATGGTCACCATGGGGACAAGCATCCCGGTGGCAGCACATACGGCTCCGCGGCCCCAAGGACGCGGCCTGGCTTCCCCTCTGCGGGGAGGTGGCAGGCCCCTCCGTGGGGATAAACCACCTCACGCACACCCCCTACTGGCCTCCCCACACAGCAGGCTGGCAGGTGGGTGAGGAGCGAGGAGGACATCTGTCCTGTTGTGCCCACCTCCGTCAGGGTCCCCCGGACCAGGGCCAACCTCTTAGGGACCCGCCTCCTCTGCGGCCACTGCATGCGACCTGCTGTGGCCTGGGCCACTCCTCACTGGCCCTAAAACCCACGCCTCTCCAGCAACAACCAGGGGTCTGCCCGGGGCGGCCCAGGGTGCCACCCGGGACTCTCTCCCCATCAAGGCAGCCGGGTCCTTTGCCCTCGCCACGTTCTGGAAGGCTCCACGCCTGACGGGGAGGCCCAGCAGGTCCCAGAAACCAGAGGCGGGGTCACCTGCTCGAGCGGCAGAGCCCGGCCTCCTCCGTGCCCACCTTCTCTCTCTGGATGTCACTCTTGATCTGCGAGATCTTGATCTTCATGGCGTCCAGCTCCTCGTCCACCACCAGGGGGATGGTGGGCGCCGCCTCGGACTCGTCCACCGTCTGGAAGCTGAGGTCCGTGAGCGGGATGTACCACTTGCAGTCGTACTGCTGGGTTTTGCTGGGGAGGGAGGAGCAGGTGAGCACGACCCCCGCCTTCCTCTGACCCCCACCCCCTTCCTCTGCCGACATCGCTGTTTTCAGAAGCCGAGAGCCACGACCTGAAACCTCAGCCTGGGGCCCGCGGGGCAGGCTGGCGTGAGACCCCCGGCTGACGCTAAGGCCCTAGACTCGGAGATCCCTGGACTCGGGCATGTGTGACGGAGGCCCCGGGGGTCTGACAAGCCCCGATTCCCCTGGGGAAGGAGTGATGGTGGCAATTCATAGGCTCTGTGACGTTGGAGCCGTTACGGCCACCCAATGACAACTAGGACAGGCCCGCAGAGGCCCCCCGAGTCCTCGAGTTTGAGGGGCTGCTGATCTACCCGGTGCGAACCCTTGCCTTGACATATGGGGAAACAGAAACTCTTTTCTTCTTCTTATTTTTTTAAATATTTTTGTGAGGAAGGGAGAGAGGGAGAGATAGAAACATCAATGATGAGATCACGGGTCGGCGGCCTCCTGAGCACCCCACACTGGGAATGGAGCCCGTAACCCGGGCCTGTGCCCCGACCAGGAATCGAACGGCGACCTCCTGGTTCACAGGTCGACACTGAGGCTCCTCGCTGAGTTGAATGATTAAATCCACTCAGCACAGCAATGGAAGGTGGGGAAGAGCCCAGTGCTGATCCCTCCCAATGTGACCTTCCTGCCTCCATCCCAGCGCGAGCACGCTGGGGTCTGATCCCTGGGAGGCTGCGTGCATGTATGTGTGTGTGTGTGTGTGTGTGCGTGCGTGTGTGTACATGTGTGTGTATGTGTGCATCTGTGTGTGCCCGTACGTGTGTGTGCCTGTACATGTGTGTGTGCATGTACGCGTGTGGGCGTGCACGTGTGTGTGTTTGGGTGGGGAGGGTGTCTGCAGCCTACGTTGAAATAACTTAGGAGCTATCACCAGGTTTGTGGAAAGCAGGTGCAGCAGCCAGTCCCTCCACCTGCCAGCCTGCACCACACCCGGCAGCTCCCCCCTGCCCCGACCAGTCACTCCCACTTCCCAGTCATGACACAACAGTCCTCCAGTGAGACCTGACCCCAACCCGGAAGGTCTCCAGGGGGTTAGTGATGACCTTGAACCTGAGCCAGGCCTCACATTCAGATGGAAACAGAATGCAGCGTAGAGGGACCACCCAGCCACACAGGGACTGCCCTCCGCAGGCTCACATTGGGAGAAAAAACAACAACAAAAGACAGACAAACTAGGCCCGACCGGCATGGCTCAGCATAGCTCAGCGTCAACCTATGAACCAGGAAGTCAGGGTTCGAGTACAGGTCAGGGCACGTGCCCAGGTTGCAGGCTCCATCCCCCGTCAGGGGCCTGCAGGAGGCAGCTGATCCATGATTCTCTCTCTTCATTGATGTTTCTCTCACTCTCCCCCTCTCCCTTCCTCTCTGAAACTGATAAAAGTATATTTGAAACAAAAACAAACAACAAACTAGCTTTCCTCTGTGCATGAAACCAACGCCACGCCCCAGGGCCTCCCCTGCAGGCGGGACGGGCCGGCGGTCACTCACCCTCCGCTCTGCTTCTTGAGCTTGGTGCAGAGGAGCAGGTCGGTGAACAGGAAGACGTGGCGCAGCTTGCGGGCGCCCTCCACCAGCTCCACCATGAAGCTGTCCTTCAGCAGCTGCCTGTGCTGCGGGCGGGGCGGGCAGGGGCCAAGGTTAGGGCAGCGGCCTCCACCCCCTCCACCTCCAGCCACAGACCCACGTTCCAGAGCGTGCCTCCGTCTCATCAGCCCGAGAACATACGTGTCACGCAAGCTCTTCTCCACTCACCAGTTACGAGCCCCTCCTGGGAGCCTGGCCCGTGGAAGAAGGCACGTGGGCGGGGAAAGGCCATTGGCCTGAGGCTGGGAGGGTATGTGACGTCTGTGTGCAATGATGGCAGGAGACCCCCTCAGAAGCCACTGAGACTCAGACTGGGCACGGGGCCAGCCCCGTGAAGGACGGGGCACTGCCGCACAGAGCCTAGCACTGGGTAAAGATAGGGCAGCCTGGCCCGGCCGGCGTGGCTCAGTGGTTGAGCATCGACCTATGAACCAGAACGTCAGGGTTCAATTCCCAGTCAGGGCACATGCCAGGGATGCAGGCTCCATCCCCAGTGGGGGGCATGCAGGGGGCAGTCGATCAATGAATCCCTCTCATCATGGATGTTTCTCTCTCTCCCACTCCCTTCCTCTCTGAAATCAATAAAATCTTAAAAAAAAAATTAAGTTCAAAAGAACTGAGCCCCTGGCCACCACCAGCAGAGGGCACCCTACGCCCAGCTCAGAAGTGGACTCAGTAGGGTCCCCTGGGCCTGCAGGTTGGAAACACCCAGATGGTCCCCTGCACTGATCCCCCACCCCCCTGGCCTCCCCTCTGGTCCACCCACTCTCCCTGAAATCCCACCTCCGGCACCTCCATTCTCCATGGGGCCACCTGAGCTGCCCTGCTGCTGGGCAGCCAGCATGCCCGCCCGCTGGGCTGAGAGGACGTGGGGCTGTGAGGAGCACCTGGGCACCTTGGCCACCTGGCCCCTCTGCACCCACCCCTGCCTGTACACACCCTCATCTTCCTAAGACAAGCCTCAACGTCACGGCGCCCGGCACATCCGACCAGCCCCCCTGCCCCTGCGGCGTCCCGGCCTGAGCCCCCCTGTGTGCTGCCCCCCATCTCTGCCTCCTCTCTGACTCACCCAGGCCGAGCAGGTGGAGATGGTGGCTACAGGGCACCCCCAAAAGCCCAGGCTGATGGAGGCTCCTTTCCTCTCGGTAGAACCCTGCCAGAGCAGCTACAACAGAGCCCCCCAAACCCGGCCGACACGCAGGGGAAGCAGGGGGCGGGGTGCCCCTCAGGGCCTGAGACCCGGGCAGTGCACCGAGCCATAATGGCTCCCGCAGCCTCGCTGTGGGACCTGCTGTGTGGTGGCCTGAGAGTGGATGGAGGGGACATCTCCCTCCTCACGGCTCTTCCCGGGAGGCCCAGCCGGAGACACCTGACCAAGCCGCTCGCTCACCGCCCGGCCCGGCGAGACCCTGGGCAGGTGGGAGCTTCCCACTCCGCACGCAAGGAGCTGCTTCCCAAGGAGGATGGGGAGGCCGGGACCCAGGGCGCCTCGACCCAGAGCGACCCGCCCGGGAGCCTGACACTCAGCACCTGGCGCGCGAACCACAAGAAAGAGGAGGAAGTGGCTCTCAGCGGCGGCCGCCGTCAGGTTCACGGCCGGAGACCGCAGAGGCCACGCATCAGTTCCCCTCGCCGAATGCGACTTCGGACGGCGGATGCTCACGATGGCGGCCAGCCCCCTGCCTGGTGCATCTCTGTGCCTCGCTGCGTGCCGCCCGCCGGGGATGGCACCGGCCTGACCACGCTGGGCCGCTCCCAGGAAGGGGCAGAGGCCACTGGGCAGGCCGGGGCAGTACGGCCTGAGCCCTTCTGTTCTTTTTAAAATGTATTTTTTTTTATTGATTTCAGAGAAAAAGGGAAAGGGAGAGCGAGCTAGAAACATCAACGGCGAGAGAGAATCATTGATCGGCTGCCTCCTGCACGCCCCCTACTGGGGACCGAGCCAGCAACCTGGGCATGTGCCCTTGACCGGAATCGAACCTGGGACCCTTCAGTCCCCAGGCCGATGCTCTATCCACTGAGTCAGACCGGCCAGGGCCTGAGCCCTCTGTTCTACAGCCTCTCATCAATGAGGTGCTGGGAGATGGGGACCGGGCGGCTGTCAGTGAGGGAGGAGGGAGGGGGAAGGAGAACATGTCTGGCTGAAGACGTCACACACATGTTCTGGATGCCACACATGCACGCCACACACGCCTCCCTTTCTCTCCCATTTAAGTCCTTAAACCCGGCGACAACTCTTCCTGAATAAAAGAATACTCAGGAGACGCTAGGTGTTCCAGGCAGGCCATAGGCCACCCTCCTTCTCCCGTCTCCTCAGCGGGGACCCCGAGCTGGCCAAGTGTGGGTAACAGAAGGGGTGCCCTGGACATAACCCCCGTGACGGAGAAAGGAAGAGGCGGCCGAGTGAGGCTCGCGCCTGTGCAATTCCACTCGGACGCCCTGCACACGGGACTGGGTGGGGCCCCGCCAGGGTCAGAGACCCCAAAAGGCACTGCACTTCCTGTGTCCCATTGAACCGTCCAGGGTCCGTCTGCTGAGGACCAGAGGGGACCCTGCCCCCTCCACCGCGGCCACGCTTACCTCGCCTTTCTTCACGGTCATGGACTGCCGGCGGGGCGTGATCTCCTCGTTGATGCTGGACAGGAAGTTCTGGGAGATGCGCAGGGCGTCCTGCAGCAGGGGGTGGTCGGGGTGGCTGGGGGGGGTGTGCTTCAGCAAGTCCTGCAGCGGGCGAGGGGATGAGAGTCAGACAGCCTTGGCACCGCCCTCTGTGGGCACACCGCAGACACACGCTGGGCTGCACCCAGGGCCACGGGCTCTGCAGGCCTCGCTGCCACCTCTCACCCGGGCCCGGGCCTCAGGGCAGCGCTGGGCGCGCACTTGGGAGGCAGGGCCCAACAGAACTCCCACAACCCGGGGGCTCGCATGCTGCCAAGAGGGGCTCCCGTCGTAGCCGGTTTGGCTCAGTGGATAGAGCGTTGGCCTGCGGACTGAAGGGTCCCAGGTTCGATTCTAGTCAAGGGCATGTACCTTGGTTGCAGGCACATCCCCAGTAGGAGGTGTGCAGGAGGCAGCTGATCGATGTTTCTCTCTCATCGATGTTTCTGACTCTCTATCTCTCTCCCTTCCTCTCTGTAAAATCAATCAAATATATTAAAAAAAAAAGGGGCTCCCACCCTCAGGGTCCAGGGCAGGCTGCCTCCACCCTGGCACTGGTGACACTCTGGGCCGAATACTTTTATTTTTTTTTAATCCTCACCTGGCGATATTTTTCCATTGATTTTTAGGGAGAGTGGAAGGGAGAGGGAGAGACAGAGAGAAACATCGATGTGAGAGGAATACATCGATGGGTTGCCTCCTGCACGCCCCGGCCAGAACCTGGGCCGGAGAGAAGCCTGCAACCGAGGCACATGCCCTTGACTGGAATCGAACCTGGAACCCTTCAGTCCACAGGTCGGTACTCTATACACTGAGCCAAACTGGCTACGGCTGATTTTTTAAATAAGTATTTTTATTGATTTGTGAGAAGGGAGAGGGAAAGAGAGATAGAAACATCAATGATGAGAGAGAATCATGGATCGGCTGCCTCCTGCACGGCCCACACTGGGGATGGAGCCCACAACCCGGGCATGTGCCCTGACTGGGAATCGAACCGTGACCTGGTTCATAGGTCGAAGCTCAACCACTGAGCCTCGCCGGCCGGGCTGGGCCAAATGATTCTCTGTGGTGGGTGTGGTCCTGTGTCCTGTGGGAGCTGGCACCTCCCCGGCCTCACCCACTGGATGCCAGCAGCACCTCCTCATCTGCAGCTTAACAACCACAGACGTCTCCAGACATGGCAGCACGTCCCTAGGGGGCGGACCCGGTCCCGGTCCGGAAGCATGAAGCACGGGCAGTGCCAGGTCAGGAGGAAGCAGCTCCCCCAGCCCCCCAGCTCCTCCCCTGGTAGATAAGAGCCTAAGGACGCAGCACGGCCTCCTTCTCCTCGAGGGATGCACGTGACTCGCCCTCAAGGTCACCAGCTCCCTGGTCAGAGAAACACAATCTCTTCCGCTCCCAAGTCCAGGCGCCCTGCACAGACAGCCCACAGGCTCCCTGCAGCCCCGCCAGGGCACTGGGCGGTGCAGCCTGACCATCACAGCGAGGGGACACGAGCCACGGGCCAGATGCTTCCAAACTGGAAACCTCGTCTCCTCTCCCTCCGTCCGAAAGCTCACAGCCCCAGCGTGCGAGGCTCAGTGGCTGTGCAACTTGCTCTAAGTCTGTGAGCAGCGTCTCCCGGGCAGTAGGAATAGGGGCCATGTGTGTTTCCTGGTTTTGCTTCTCAGTATTAAGACAACCCCTTGCCTGGCCGGCGTGACTCAGTGGTCTGAGCATTGACTTATGAACCAGGAGGTCACAGTTCGATTCCCAGTCAGGGCACATGCCGGGTTGCAGGCTTGATCCCCAGTGGGGGGCGTGCAGGAGGCAGCTGATCCCTGATTCTCTCTCATCATTGATGTTTCTCTCTCTCTCTCTCCCTTCCTCTTTGAAATCAATGAAAACGTTAAAAAAAAAAAGACAACCCATTCAGGGTCTGCCTCACCGCCTTCAGAGACAGCCCTACAAGGCGGGGCCTCCCCAGGCTGGGAGGCGGTGGCCACCCTCCAGGCCCCGGAACGCACCCGCTGTTGTGCCCACGCTGACCAACCTGGAGTCCTAGTTCCCACAGGAGACGGGATGCCCCGCCCTGCCCCTGCTCCAAGGGGAGCGCCTAGGACACCCCGAGAGCCTGCTGTTCCCCCACATCCCCTCCCCAGGAGTCCAGGATGGCAGGGGCACCTCATGTCTGCATCTCCAGTGAAGGCAGGGAGCAGAAAAAGGGGAGTAGGGGCCCCTCATAAACACCCGTGTCCGCCCGAGGACAGCGGGAGCCGAGAGGCCAGTGGGAAGGCCGGGGCGCGGGACTCACGTGCAGGACCAGCGTGCTCCGCGTCACCCGGTCCACAGGCTTGTAGAGCAGGGCTGCGGGGAGAGAGGGGCCACCGTGGAGAGAGCCGCCCCGCCCCCACCCGCTCACCCTCGCGGTGAGCGAACCCCTTGCTCAGTGACCTCGAGTACCAGGAAGGCCGGGTCCACGGCATTGGGCGTTCAGTCTGTGCCATGAACGTGGAGCCCAGAGCTGCCGTCAGAAGCCGAGCCCTGGTGGCTGACTCAGTGACAACCGCTAAGCTGCTTAGTGTCCCCCTGGGGTTGGGGAGCCCGCCAGCACCCCGTGAGGACGGGCCAGCGGGGGTCCCCACCCTGGCGGGAGACCTGCTCTCCAGGCCAGGGCCCCCGGGAGCCAACTGGCTGCATGCCACTCTCTCTTGCAGTTTGGAGGCCTGATCGTGAGAACGACAGGAGCCAACTCAGGGGGTGCCATGGCTCTCGTCTTTACCGGTGGGCCCAGGGCCCCGCTTCCCACGGTGAGCACCGCCCCGAAGGCTTAGACGCTGTGATGTGTCCCGATACACACACCAGTGCCTCTCCGCCCGCGCCTCCCGCAGCCTGTGTGCAGAGCGCATCGCTGTCCCCATTTTACAGACAGGGAGACCGAGGCTGAGCAGGGGAAGCTCTGGGCAGCAGAGGCACCCCTGCTCTTCCCTGCGAGTGTGACCTCCCGCTGCCCTAGCAACAGGGAGGGAGAAGTGGCCCCTCTCTCCCAACACACTTCCCCCCAGAGAGAGGAGGAGGCCGAGAGCAGGCCTGGCGCCCTGGCTGCACCCTCTATGCATGCACCTCTTGGGGCCTGGGTTCTGCGTGGGTGACATTTGTCCCAAACGTGTTTTGTCATCTGAAAGCAGGGGCTCCTGGGGCTCCTGGGGCCAGCATGACATTTTTAATGCCAGGCAACGCCTGGTTTGTGGGTATCTGCTCACGCCCACCATTTTTCCTGTTTGTGACTGCTGGTGGCAAGCTGTCCTGCCCTCTTCCTTCCCCGCCCTGCCAGGCCCCGCTGCTCTGTCCTCGTCCCGACACCACTGCGGGGAGTCCAGAGGGCGACCGGCGGGCACCACCTTCACTTCCCCAGCAAATGCCCCGTCTGCTCGCAGCGGCCGCCCCCTCAGGGGCACGAAGAGGCCTCGGCACGAGAACTCACTTTCCAGGGAGTTCTTGGTGATCTGGTCCTTGGCATCCTTGTTGCTTCTGGCTCTCAGGTTCTGCCAAGAAAAAAGGCGCATTTTCACGGGGCACAATGCCAGCAGTGGCGATGGGGCGGGCAGTCCCAGGGTCGGGGAACCTGCCACGGCCCTCTCACCCTCTCGCACCGCGAGGAACCCCAGATGCGGCGGCCCGGGGCGGGGGTCCTGGGCCACAGTATATGACACAGGGCATGCGCCCGGCCGGCGGGGCTCAGTGGTGGCGCGTCGACCTGTGAACCAGGAGGTCACGGTTGGACTCCCGGTCGGGGCCCAGGCCCGGGTTGCGGGCTCGATCCCAGTGGGGGGCGTGCAGGAAGCAGCCGGTCAGCGATTCTCTCTCCTCCCTGATGGGCTCTGCTCTTTTGAAACGTGGACGGAGAACCAAAGCAAATGCCGCCCGGTGGTACCGGCCTGATGGGGGGCTGGCTGTTGGCCTTGGCTTAGATTCCCACTTGTGTGCGGCTGGTGGGACCCCCATAACCCCCGGGGGGGTGTCCCACCACCGTTTCTTCCCTCCTCTATAGCAACCTGCCCAGGCAGACTTAACCTTGGCCCAATGAACCGCAGCCTCCCTTAGAGAATTAGGTCTGTAATTTGTCAAGGTCACTCTGGATTCTGGGCCAACATTCCAGCTGTTAGGGGTGTGTGTGGGGCTGGTCACTGAATGAGCTCAGGAAAAGAAGGGACTGAACGTGCCAGGCGAAACCTGGGCAGCTGGGGAGGGGAGTCTGGAGCCGGCCCGGAGCCCTGGGGGGTGCATAGCCCGTGCCCAGCAGCGCCAGGCGGGGAGCGGGCGCCCCACGGGGCCTGGAGGAACACGTGGCCCATGTTATCACTGCAGGAGATGGCAAGTGCCAGGGCCCAGGACACGCCACCTCCCGCGATACGTTATACAAGGGCACAGAGCCTGTGGCACACAGCCAGGCACCATGGTCGGGCGCGATGGTCGGGCGCGATGGTCTCCCAGCAGGAGGCCGGACGCTCTCCCTGGTTCTAGTTCCCACTTCTTCAGAGGCCGCCTTCCCCACATGCAGATCTTTCCCACCCGAGTCCTTATGTGGTCGGGGAAGGCGAGTCAGAGTTCCGAGGAGCGGGACGGCTCCAACAGCAAAAGTGAGGCCCTGGCCGGTGTGGCTCAGTGGTGGAGCATCGACCTATGAACCAGGAGGTCACGGTTCCATTCCGGTCAAGGGCACATGCCCAGGTTTCGGGCTCGATCCCCAGTGTGGGGCGTGCAGGAGGCAGCCGATCCATGATCCTCTCTCATCATTGATGCTTCTCTCTCTCTCTCTCTCTCCGTTCCTCTCTGAAATCAATAAAAAAATATATTTTTTAGCCGAAACCGGTTTGGCTCAGTGGATAGAGCGTCGGCCTGCGGACTGAAAGGTCCCAGGTTCGATTCCGGTCAAGGGCATGTACCTGGGTTGCGGGCATATCCCCAGTAGGAGATGTGCAGGAGGCAGCTGATCGATGTTTCTCTCTCATCGATGTTTCTAACTCTCTATCTCTCTCCCTTCCTCTCTGTAAAAAAATCAATAAAATATATTTAAAAAAAAAAAGAAAGAAAAAAAATATATTTTTTAAAAAGGACAGAACTGCGGACCCCCCTCACTGCATCTATCCAGGGACCTGACTGAGCCCCAGCATCAGGCCTGGCCCCGGGTGGGTGTTGGGGGGCAGGAGGGGGTGGGGGAGGAACCTCAGCTGCTCCTTGTCTGCTCACAACAGGGTCCCTGCAGGGGCAGGGCTGACGGTGCCCACCCGGAGGCACCTGGAAACGGCTGAGGCGAACGACCAACCTTGGCCTGGCGCGCCTTGTTCTGCTGGGTCGCGGGGACCAACGCCCAGCGCGGGGCCCGCCCGCCGGGCTGCAGGTGCCCTGTCCGAAGCGCCCCCGCCTACCTCGGAGATCTCTGCAAACTGAGTGTTGGCCTGGCAGCACTTCTCGGCCATTTCTATGGCGACTTTGTAGTTGTCCACAAAGGCCCGGTACACGCCCAGCTGGCTGGCCTGCAGGGAGGAGCAGGGCAGAGAGCGGGGGGCAGGGGTGAGACAGGCGCCGCGGCACCCCATCTCGCTGAGAATCGAGCTGCTGTGCACAGCTCCGGAGGAACCCAGGTGCCAGGCGGTGCAGAGCTGCAGACAGCTCAGCTCCCCCCGCCGCAGCCTCCCACCTGCCTCCCCGCCCCACGCACCGAGCCCGCTTCCCTCTCCCACAGCGACAGCGACACGAGAAGTGACTCACGGCCCACCCCGGGCAGGTAACGGCTCCCCGCCCCAGCTGCTTCGTCTTCCCACCCGACGCCTTTAAAAGGTGCCACTGACAAGAGCGGAAGTTCAAGGCTGTCGGTGAAGGCAGACAGAGGTGTCCACGCAGGTGGGATGGAGTGGCACCTGCCCCTTCTGGCCGCAGGAGACCAACGTGGACAAGGAGGTCGGCCCCTCAAGCCTGTGGTGGATTCGATGCTCCCTTCACATCGGTATTGTTTTTTAAATCCTCACTGGAGGATATTTTCCCACTGATTTTCAGACAGAGTGGAAGAGAGAGGGAAACATCGATGCGAGAGAACACATCAATTGCTTGCCTCCTGCAAGAGCCCCAACCAGGGCCCAGGCTGGGGAGGAGCCTGCAACCGAGGTACATGCCCTTGCTCAGCATCGAACCTGGGACCCTTCGGTCTGCAGGCCGATGCTCTATCCACTGAGCCACACCGGCCAGGGCCCCAGTCACATCCGATCCCTGCAGACACGTAAGGGTCGTGCCATCTGGTTGCCTTTGGAGAGGCTCCAACTGCTCAGATATGAGCCCGGCCCAGACCTGGCGAGGGGACCCAGGCATCACACAGCCCGCTGGCTACAAGGTGAGAGGCCTTTTCAAGCCAAAGACATTAGCAGAGGGTCTCCCCACAGAGCCCACAGCTCAGACACTCCACGGAGCAGCCCCTTCCATGGGGAGAAGCGTGTGTGCAGCCACCGCCGTCCGGGAGCCCCGGGCCGTCTGCAGAGGCTGGGGGAGGAGCCGGCCCTCACGTTGCACCAGAAGCCCAGGCTCAGGGAGGGTCAGGGCGGGCCCAGGGGACCCACCCGGCCGGGCCTCCCACTGCTGCCAACAGGAACTGAAGCCTGAGGCTTCCCCTGATGCTGGGGTCTGTCCTGTGTAGAATCGAACCTTTACTTCTACATGCATTTGCATTTACATTGAATTTTATGTTTCTCCAGATGACAATCCAGACACTGGGTAAGTCAGGCGCTCTCAGCACTGTCTGGTCTCCTGGCCCTGCTCCCAATGGGGGCTGCATGGAGGGTGTGGGGGCGCACAACAAGAAGCAGCAGCTGGGGGAGGCCCTGCCTGGCTCCCGCCACGTCCATCACCCCGGAAAAGTCACTGCACCCCCAAACTTCAGGTTCTCATTGTCGGTACCACAGTCCGGCCCAGAGCCCTTCTCCCTCCCCGGCAGGTCCCTGAGCCCCTCCCACCCAGAGGAGGCCGGGCTGCAGGCACGGCCACCACAGCCACGAGTCACCCAGCCACGGGGCGGCCAGCTCCGGGAGAGACACGATAAGTAAATACGTGCAGCCTGCCCGGCGTGGCTCAGCGGGTGAGCAGGGACCTGTCCGAGCCAGGAGGTCAGGGTCTGACTCCCGGTCAGGGCACGCGGCCGGGTTGTGGGCTCCGCCCCAGTGCAAGCTGTTCCTGAGGAAAGGTCACCCAGACCCAGACTGGCTTGTCCCCTTCAGAAAAGCAGTCAGGTCATGGGAGAGGCGTCAAGGCCAAGGGACTGGAGAGAGGGAGGGACACTAAGGAGACGCGACAGCCAAGCCCATCTGTGACCCTGGACTGGGTCCTGCGTCAGAGGACGAGTGGCTGGAAGGAACGCCACGGCTGACGGGGGGGGAAATGTGCATACGGAGCGCGTGTGGAATACCAGCACCGCAGCCGGGCACATACAAGAGTCAGCCAAGGCCGAAACCGGTGTGGCTCGGTGGATAGAGCGTCGGCCTGCGGACTGAAAGGTTCCGGGTTCGATTCCGGTCAAGGGCATGTGCCTTGGTTGCGGGCACATCCCCAGCGGGAGGTGTGCAGGAGGCAGCTGATCGATGTTTCTCTCTCATCGATGTTTCTGACTCTCTCTCTCCCTCCCTTCCCCTCTGTAAAAAGTCAATAAAATATATTTAAAAAAAAAAAGAGTCAGCCAATGAATGCAACAGATCGGTTTCTCTCTTTCTCTCTCTCTCAACTCAATAAATAAACATTTTAAACCCTTGCTGGTGTTGCTCAGTGGATAGAGCGTCGGCCTGCAGACTAAAGGGTCCCAGGTTCGATTCCAGTCAAGGGCACGTGTCTAGGTTGCAGGCTCCATCCCCAGTAGGGGGCATGCAGGAGGCAGCCAATCCACGATTCTCTCTCATCATTGGTGTTTCTATCTCTCTCTCCCTCTCCCTTCCTCTCTGAAATGAATAAAAATATAGTTTAAAAAATACTTTTCAATATTTCAAAAAAGTCTGCAAGTGATTCAAGAGCCTTTTAAAAAAATATATTATTTTTTTATTGATATCAGAGAGGAAAGGAGAGGGAGAGAGAGACAGAAACATCAACGATGAGAGACTCATTGATCGGCTGCCTCCTGCACGCCCCCTCCTGGGGATCAAGCCTGCAACCCGGCATGTTCATAGGTCGACGCTCAACCACTGAGCCACCCCGGCCGGGCACCACCCCAGACTCTTTACTTGAACTGTCACCTTGGTGTCCCCCGAGCCCCAGCAGCACCCACCTGCAGGTCCCGGGAGAGGCCCGCCCCCGCCAGCCGCCTCCGCAGCCCCGCGCTCCCTCCCGGCGGGCGGCTGCGCACCGGCTCCCGGCTCCCGGCTCCCGTCACTCACCAGCTTCTGGAAGAGGTCGCCCACGCGCTGCTGGTGGCTCCACTGCTGCACGCGGGGGCACAGCCCGTCGTAGAACTCCTTGTGGATCTCGTAGAGCTCAGGCACTTTGAAGAAGATGGTCTCGATCTGCTGGCTCGTCAGCACCGGCTGGGAGGTGGTGGCCGCCGCCTTCAGAGGCTTCATGGGCTGCAGGGGGCACAGGCGAGGGGCCACCATGAAAGGGCTCGCCATGGGCCAGGGGCATGGGATGGCCACAGAAGATCTTGGTCATGTGACATACGTGCCTTTATTTTTTTAATTATTATTTTTTAAGCCTCACCCGAGGGTATTTTTCCATCGATTTTTAGAGAGAGTGGAAGAGAGAGGGAAAGACAGAATGAAACATCGATGTGAGAGAGACACGTCGATGGGTTGCCTCCTGCACGCACCCTGACCAGGGCCCAGGCTGGGGAGGACCCTGTAACTAAGGTAAGTGCCCTTGACCGGAATTGAACCTGGGACCCTTTGGTCTATAGGCCAATGCTCTATCCACTGAGCCACACCAGCTAGGGCTCTGTGCTATTATTTTTAAATTCTATGACATACAGCCTGGCCGGCATGGTTCAGTGGCTGAGCGTCGACCTATGAACCAGGAGGTCATGGTTCGATTCCCAGTCAGGGCACATGTCCGGGCTGTGGGCTCCATCCCCAGTAGGGGACGTGCAGGAGGCAGCCAATCCATGATGCTCTCTCCTCATTGATGTTTCTAGCTCTCTCCCTCTCTCTTCCTCTCTGAAATCAATAAAAATGTATTTAAATTCCATGAAATATAACCATGCGAAGCCAGCTTGGGTTGGCACCTGTCTTATGCTGCCATCCACCGCCCCTGGGAAGCTCCGGCCTCCACCCAGGCGGCCTGCCCCAACCCTCCCACAGGTGCCTCCATGACTCCCAGGAGGGTGGGTGCCCTGGCTCCAGCCAGCTACCTTCGGCCCGGGCCATGTGAGCTGACAGCTCCCCGCGGCCCTGCCCCACCCACCAGCCCCCCCCTCCCCACACCCGCCTCACCAGCAGCAGCGCCTCCAGGTGGCTGAGGTACGTCTCCTCACTCGCCAGGATGCCGGACAGGACCCACTTCCTCATCTCCAAGCCCTTTTCCAGGTCCAGCTCAGTCTGCGGGAGAAGCAGACAGAAGTCAGATCTGCGAGGTGGTGCCCGAGGCGGCCCGTCTCAGAGAGGAAGTGTGTCCACCTTGACCAGCCTCCCAGGAGGCTCCGGGTGGCATCAGAGGGCATCACGGACACCCCGGCATGTCGGCCACTCACGCGTGGTCACCGCCAAGCCGAGAGCCACCGCTGGTCTTGACATTGGGGAGCTTGGAGCCGAGCCAGCCGGGCACGGCCTTCCTCCGCCACACCTTCCTCCTGCGACCGAGGAGTGGGGGGCCCAGGAGAGGCCGAGCTGAGGGGCGTCGGGACCTGCCGCACGGCCACCCCAGCTCCCTCTGCCACTGTCACTCCCTGCCAGGAATCTGCCACTATCACCTGACCCTTGGACCGAAGGGCCAGGCAGTCCTATGCTGCCTCCTGCCACACACCCTCCCTTCTGGCCTCAGGGCGGAGCTGGGGGCTGCTGCCACCTGCCCCAGGGGAACCCCTACGGTGCTCCCAGGGCTCAGGACCTTTGCCTCTCGAGCCTGCTGTTCTGATTCTGGGGGCAGGGACCCCCTTAGGGGTGGGCTACAGGATCCCCTCCCCTCCAATCAATACAGCTCGACCGCCTTTGCCTCCAGAAGCCAGAGCTCACGCCCCTGGACGCTGGGGCCGGGGGCAGACAGAGCCCACACAGCCGGAGGACCACATTCCAGTCCCAGCTGTGCTAACACCACGGCTGCACTCTGCGTTCGGGTCTTTAAAGATCACGGTCCAGTGAGGCCTTTGCAGTGGCCCGAAGCCACGGTGACCGGTGTCCTGACAAGAAGACGTCAGGGGGTCCCAGTCATAAAAGAAGTCAGTCCTGTCCTGGGGATGTATGGTACAGCACGGGGACTGCCGTTAATAATACCGTTTGTGCCCTAACCGGTTTGGCTCAGTGGATAGAGCCTCGGCCTGCGGACTCAAGGGTCCCAGGTTCGATTCCGGCCAAGGGCATGTACCTTGGTTGCGGGCACATACCCAGTGGGGAGTGTGCAGGAGGCAGCTGATCGATGTTTCTCTCTTATTGATGTTTCTAACTCTCTATCCCTCTCCCTTCCTCTCTGTAAAAAATCAATAAAATATATATTTTTTAAAAAATAATACCGTTTGTCTATGTGAAAGTTGCTAAGAGAGCAAATTTTCAAAGTTTGCATAAGAAAAAAAAATCTGTAACTGTGTGAGGCGATGGATGTTACCTAGACCAGTGGTTGGCAAACTCATTAGTCAACAGAGTCAAATATCAACAGTACAACGATTGAAATTTCTTTTGAGAGCCAAATTTTTTAAACTTGAACTATATAGGTAGGTACAGTGTTATTAACTTAATTAGGGTACTCCTAAGGCTTAGGAAGAGCCACACTCAAGGGGCCAAAGAGCATGTGGCTCGCAAGCCGCAGTTTGCCGACCACGGAGACACATCACCACTTCACAATGCACACCCATATCAAGTCACGCAGCGCACCTGCGGCGAACGTGAGCTTGAATGTCAGTGTCTGGATGTGTGGAAAGGAGTCTGAGATGCAGACACACAGGGAGAAGACAGCCGTGGCTCAGCCAGCGAGAGGCCTCAGGAGAAACCAGCCCTGCCGGCACCGTGACCCTGGACGTCCCGACTCCAGAAACAGGAGCAGTAAATCTCTGTGGCTTAGGCTCCCCACTCCGTGGCGCTTGGTTATGGCCACCCCAGGGAACTCAGACAGACGATGATGATGCTAAAGGCCATGACAACTGCCTCGTGACTGCCTGGCCACCGGCCCGGCCGGCTCCCTGACCCGGGACGGACGGGGTGGGGCAGAGCCTGGTGCTGGAGGCTGGCCATGCCCAAGAGGGGAGGGGCCCCGTGTTCAGGGAAGGTGACCTAATGGCCTGCCTGTTCCACCACCAGGTTCCTCAGCCCACAGGGGAGTCCGTGGGCGTGGAGGGAAAACACCGCCCCTTCGTCACTCACCTCCCCAAACCTCTCAGGGAGACCCAGGATGAGGGGCAGGCCCTGGCCCCCAGCACCCCTGACATCGGGGGCTGGAGGACCTCTGTTGGGAACTGGGGCCACTGTGTGCCTTGCAGGGTGGAGAGCAGCATCTCCGGCCTGTACTCAACATGTGCGAGGAGCAGCACACAGCTCAGCTGCTGCAGCTGCAGCCACACGCCCCCGGGGCCCAATCCACCCCAGGGGAGAAGTGCTGCTTTTTTTTTTTCCGGTTAATCCTCCCCGGAGGATACCTTTCCATTGATTTTTGGAGAGAGTGGAAAGGAGAAGGATAGAGAGAGAAACATCGACGTGAGAGAGACAGATGGATTGGTTGCCTCCTGCACATGCCCCGACCAGGACTGGGGATCAAGCCTGCAACCAAGGTACGTGCTCTTGACTGGAATCGAACCTGGATCAGTCCACGGACTGACGTTCTATCCACTGAGCCAAACCGGCTAAGGTGAGAAATGCTGGTTTCAAAGAAACACCTGACCGAGGCCAGCCAGGGCCCCCGGTGTCACCAGAACCCGGAACCAGGACCAGCAGTGTGGCCTCCCTGTGTCCCCAGCCCTAATGGCCATTCACCCTTCCTGGCCCGGTGGGAGGGAGGCGCCTGGTGGTGAAGACGGCCGGCCCGGCAGGACGCACCGGGGCCAGGAGTGCGGGAAGGGGCTGCAGAGCCGGCCCGGCCAGGTGAGCTCCTTTAGCCCCAAGCCTCGGCCGCCTGGGTGTGAACAGGGAAGGGGCCGGTCCCTGCGTCCCATCTACTTCCGCTTCCTGTATCCCTGGGGCTTGTATCACGTCCTCACTGCCCCGGGAGCATCCAAAGAGCCTTCCTGGCCCTAGCCAGTGTGGTTCAGTGAATAGAGCACCAGCCTGAGGACTGAAGGGTCCTGGGTTCGATTCTGGTCAAGGGCACCTGCCTGGATTGAAGGCTCGATCCCCAGTAGGGGGCGTGCAGGAGGCAACCGATCCATGATTCTCTCTCATCACTGATGTTTCTCTCTCTCTCTCCCTCTCCCTTCCTCTGTGAAATCAATAAAAATATATGAAAAAGCAACAACAAAAAATGAAGAGCCTTCCTGGACTGCCAGCTTGCTTTGTGGCATCCTGTAACTATACATGAGCTAGGTGCATGAATGAACGTGCATGTGTGTGTGTGTGCACGTGCATGTATGAACGTGTGTGCGTGTGTGTGAGTGTGCACGTGCATGTGTGTGCATGTATGAACGTGCATGCACGTGAGTGCATAGGCACTGAGTAGGAACCAGCCATTAAGATCTTGGCCGAGAGCCACTCTGGGAAATGACACCCAGGCGTCACACCCAGCCGCCTCCCTGAGCACAATGGGCGCGGCTCCTCGGGCAGGGCCTGGGGACACTCTGTGCCTGATGCTGACACGCCCTGCGCCAGCACCGTGTCTGGAGCAATAAGTGCTGCATGACGATTCCTGAGCCAGCAAACCCACAATGGATGGATCTAGAACTCCACGCGGGCCGGTCAGTGCGGGTGAGGGTCTGAGGGCAGGAGTCTGGGGCGGGGGTGGGTGCCTGGGGCACAGGGAGAGTCTCCTCAAGGGACCTGAAGGTGGAGGAGGTCCTGTCAGGGAGAGAGAGCCCTCAGGGGCGGTGGCGGGACAGGAAGGGGTCCTCCCGGGCTCAGGACTCCACCTGCTTACTCAGGCCCCTGAGGGTCCTTGCCTGTAGGAAGCCGAGGGCTCAGGAAGGCGTCCAATCGGATCGCTGAATGGCCTGGAGCCAGTTGCTTCACCTCTCTGAGCCTTGGCTTTGTGTAAAATGGTGCAACTGGATGCTGGGTAAGAAGCCGCACAGGCAGGTGTGTGCCACACACCGGTTCCCCTCCCGTCTGCAGGTTTTGGCACAGGCCTCGGGCCCGAGGTCTTTAGAAATCACAAAAGCTTAAGTAAGAAGCCTTTTTGCAGCGGAGGCGCCGGCCCAGAGAAGCAGCCGCTGTGAAAAGACACAGGCCTCGCTCTTCCACGCAGCAGCAGGAAGAACAGACTCCTCCCGTGTTTAATCCTGGGGTGGAAATCACCCAGAAACAAGCTAAGCACAAGGGGGAGGGCCCTGCCATCAGGGGCGAGGGGACCAGAAAGACAGAGGTGCAATCTGCCCCAGGGGCAGGGGTCTTCTCACGAAGGAATGGCCCGGCCGGTGTGGCTCAGTGGTTGAGCCTCCACCTATGGACCCAGAGGTCAGGGTTCGACTCCCGGTCAGGGCCCATGCCCTGGGCACTGGCTCGATCCCCAGTGTGGGGCGTGCATGAGGCAGCCGATCCAGGACTCTCTCCCATCACTGATGTTTCTCTCTTTCCCCCTCCCTTCCTCTCTGAAATCAATAAAAATATGTATTTTTTATTTTTTTTATTTTTTTTATTTTTTATTTTTTATTTTTTTTAAATATGTATTTTTTAAAATGACTGTGGTCAAATGGGTGAGGTCGTCAGCACCCCCTCTAGTAAGAGGGAGCAAGTGCATTTGTGGGCGCCTCTCCTGCTCAGCACCCATGTGGGGGCCGCCCCCACAGGTCCCAGCATGAGCTGCCCGCCTCCTGCATTCGGGCTGACAGCTCCCTGCACCAGCAGGCGGTCCCTGTGCCCGATGAAGGGAGGAGAAAGAAGTTTGAATGACCGACATCCAACCCTGGCTGCTCCATCACTTGCCGGTCCCCTGCCCCTGAGCGGAGGGACTGGGCTTCCGGAGCCTCTGGGACAAGGACAGCTGCCCGCTGCCTGGGACTCACCGCTTTGGCGGGCTCCAGGGCGCCCGAGGCCAGCGCATCCCGGCTGCCCCTGCCCTTGCTGCCCAGGTGGGGCGAGGAGGAGGGCGAGTCATCGATGTAGGGCAGTCCGTCCTGGTGCCGGCGCTGCTCCTCCGCCTGGTCCGCGGCGCAGCCGTATCCAGGCGGCGTTCCGAAGGACGTGTCTGTGTGTGAGAGAGGCGGCCTGTGTCAGAGACGGGGGTATGGGGGTGTGGGGGTGTGTGTGTGGGGGGACAGGGCACACTGAAGGGCCGACGACATCCCACCTGTCCCAGCAGGGGCCCAGCTGATGCCATCTGCCACCTGCAGGCACCAAACAGGGACCTCAGGCACACGGACCTCACCTTCACAAGCGCCTGGCCACAGACCCCGGGGCGCGCAGGGGACGGACAGCAGCTGCGCCCAGACAGTATGAGACTGGGCTTCCGGACGCCGCCTGGGACACATGCTCCTTATCCCGGGAGGGGCCCTGAGCCATCACAGACAGGCAGACCCCGAATGGAACAGTCCCTCAGACGCCTGTCCGTGGGGGTGTGACAGGGTGGAGAGCACAGGCCAGCACGGAGGCCCGGGGCAAGCCACGGCCACCCCACGCCGCGCCCCACATCCGCCGGGCCCGCCCACCCGGACCCCCATCAGAGCGCCTATGAGGACCGAGAGCGGCTCACCCCACAACACGGTCCCCCTCCTGGGGACTGTCTCCGTCAGAGGGCAGTCCCTGCCTCCCCGCTGAAGCCACGCGGCTTCCTTCCCCCCAGGCTGAGTCCTAAAGCCGCACCCCGGGGCTTTCTGTAGCTCTGCTCCCAGACCCCGCGCCAGGACGTCGCCCCACAAGGCCCCGCCTGCTCCGAGCCCACAGGAGGGCCCCTTCTGGGCTCCACAGGCACGTTCACGGCCCATGGATTCCCGAGAGGTCGCGCTGATTGGGTCATGTCCCCCGATGACATCACTCCCGTCATGACTCACCTGCATGCAGCCCCACCTTAGGGTCATCGCCGCGGGCGCCTCTGCAGTGATCACTCACCTGCTTCCAACTTCCGCCCGCCCCCCCCCCCCGCCCCCCTGGGCTCCGGCCCCGGGTGCTGCTGGTGCCCACGCCACCCACGGACTTGGGAGCTGACCCAGCAATCCTGGGGGGGCAGGGGACGTCCCTTTCCGTTCTTTCCACATGCGCAGCGGGAGGAGCAGTGGCCGGAGTGGCCCGGTGGTCACCGCAAGCTCAGAATGGCCAGCGTGCTGGGTGACGCCTCTGCCCAGCCACGGGGCCCACGGACGGCCAGTCTCCGCTGCCTCCCACGCCTCTGCCACTCCCAGCAGGTCACACACGGCTCAGCAGGTGTCCCGAGCCTTGGCTATAGGCCAGCGATACCTGGGGAGCTTTGAAAACAACACAGCCGGGCCCCGGCCAGTATGGCTCAGTGGATAGAGTGTCGGCCTGTGGACTGAAGGGTCCCAGGTTCGATCCCCAGTGGGGGGGTGTGTGCAGGAGGCAGCCAATCCATGATTCTTCTCATCACTGATGTTTCTCTCTCTCCCTTTCCCTTCCTCTCTGAAATCCATGAAAAATACAAAAAGAAATAAAAATAAAATGCATAACTTTTTTAATTTTTTTAAAAAATATATTTTATTGATTTTTTACAGAGAGGAAGGGAGAGAGATAGAGAGTCAGAAACATCGATGAGAGAGAAACATCGACCAGTCGCCTCCTGCACATCCTCCACCGGGGATGTGCCCGCAACCCAGGTACATGCCCTTGACCGGAATAGAACCTGGGACCTTTCAGTCCGCAGGCCGACGCTCTATCCACTGAGCCAAACCGGTTTCGGCTAAAATGCATAACTCTTTTTTAAAAAAAAAATATTTTTATTGATTTCAGAGAGGAAGGGAGAGGGAGAGAGATAGAACCATCAATGATGACAGAGGATCATTGACCGGCTGCCTCCTGCACGCCCCCCACAGGGGAAGGAGCCCACAGCCCGGGCCTGTGCCCTGACCGGGAATCGAACCCTGACCTCCTGGTTCATAGGTCGACACTCAACCACTGAGCCACACCGGCCGGCCGGATTGTTCACTTTAAAATGTTCAGTTTTATGTATCATTTCACCTACAAGCCCCCCCACCCCCGCCCTGAACACACATCTGTTTTCCTCTCTTCAACAAGGAACCCAGGACCTAGTCCAGCTGTTTCCTGAGAACCCAGAGCACCGTCTGCACAGACGTCAGAGCTGCTGGCACCGCGACCGTGGGCCACCCCCGGGCAGGGGGCGCGGCCGCCCTTGCCGAGTGATCAGGTTGGTTTCTGCTTTCCCCTGGCAGCTGCACCAAGTGGGTCAAAACCCTTCATCCGCGAGACCGCCCCCGTCCGGTGAGTCACTGCGCCCGGGCGAGAGGCCTGCCTCTCCAGCCCTTGGTTCTATGGGAGAAGAAGGGGCACAGGGAGCACCCCGGACCCTGGCACCTTTCAGCCTTCATGCCGTCACCCCAACAAGGACATCACCAGGTCAGCACGGGAAGCCCCGCTGCTGGGGCAGGGGGAGGTCACGGTCCAGATGAGAGTGTGTCACACAAGGCCCGAGGCCGGTCAAATCCTCCCAACGGGCCAGGAAATACCAGCGGGGAGGCCCGCGCCCCAGCTCGCCGGGCAGCCCTAGATGCCCCGAGCGAGGCCGAGTCTCCGGGGAACGCTGGCGGCCGAAACAGAGCTCCTCCCGCTCGGGGTTTGGGTTCCAGCTGGTTGGAGGGAGACTGAGTCACCAGGTCAACTCTGCCAGCCACTTTTTTTCCTTTTCATCTCTGTTGTTGAAATATAGGAAGTACACAGGTCCTCCTTCCCCCCCATTAACCTCTTCCAGCCGCTCCCATCCTCCTCCTCCCTCCCCCACCCCATTGTCTGTGCCCAGGGGTGATGTATAGATGCAGACAAGTCCATTGGTTGATCTCGTCCCACCCACCCTCCCCGCCTTCCCTCTGAGGTTCAACAGTCTGTTCATGCTTCTATGACTCTGGGGTGACTTTTTCTTTTTTTTAATCATCACCTGAGGATATCTTCCCATTAATTTTTAGAGAGTGGAAAGGAGAGGCAGAGAGAGAGAGAGAGAGAGAGAGAGAGAGAGAGAGAGAGAGAGAGAGAGAGAAACATCAATGTGCGAGAGACACACATCGATTGGTTTCCTCCCACACGGGCCCCACCGGGGCTGGGATTGAACCTGCAACCGAGGCACATGCCCTTGCCCAGAATCGAACCCGGGACCCTTCAGCCCACAGGCCGGTGCTCTATCCACTGAGCCGACCCAGCCAGGGCTGCCAGTGACTTTTAGCACTAAGACGGAGTGGCCCCAGGATGGGCAGACAAAGACCCCCCCATCAGCATCCAGATGTTGCTAACGGACCTTCTAGGGCCTCCAAGGGCCTCCTCCTGTGCCTGAAGACCCCAGATCCTCATGAGAGAGAGATTATTTATGCTCTGGGTCGGGCTGGGTCTGCAACGAGCTGGTGCCAGGGCAGGGCGGGCCGAGGTGGAACCGCAGCCGGAAAGAGCTGCAGCCTTGGGCGTGGGGTGACGTCATTATTATTTTTATTATTTTTCAGCACCTCCCGGAGCCTGCAGCAACGGGGCTCAGGGCGATTTCTTAAGGCACTTGGTCCCAGACAAGCAAACGGATGCATTTACTGAGCACCCGTTTAGTCAAGATGTGCAACGCCCCTACTGCAGACCGGGCAGCGTGCTGGGTACATGGTATGAGGACCACAGACCAGCCGCAGCCCGGGAGCCGGCAGCATCCCAGGAGTCACATGACACGTGCATCACAGCGAGGCCACCCATGAGAGGCAGCTGGGCTTGCAGGCAGGGCAGCCGAGACCACCTCCCCGGGGAAGTGACCACAGAGACTTAACGGAGGAGAGGGAGGCAGGAATAGGATCCTCACCAGGAACCAACCAGGCTGGCCCGGCTGGCGTGGCTCAGCGGTTGAGCATGGACCTATGAACCAGAAGGCCGCGGCTCAATTCCCGATCAGGGCACATGCCCGGGGTTTTGGGCTCAATCCCCAGTAGGGGGTGTGCAGGAGGCAGCCGATCTATGATTCTCTCTCATCACTGATTTTCCTCTCTCTCTCTCTCCCTCTCCCTTCTTCTCTGAAATCAATAAAAATATATTTAAAAATATAAAAATAAAATAAAACCAACCAGGCTGGCAGCCTTATCTCAGACTCGCAGCCTCCAGGACTGTCAGAAAGAAGCGTCAGCTGTGAGCCCCCAGCCGTGGGGTTAGCTGAGACAGGCCCACTCCACCCTCGCTGGTTCCCAGGCCTGGTCCTTTCTGTGGGAGGCATGAATGCGGAGATGGGCCAGCGGGGAGTCGGGGTCTCCCCGGGGGAGAGGGAGCCGCTTGCGCGCTGGTATTCTGGCCCTGGAGCGGCACAGCTCCGGCTCAGTCCTGGGGGCCAGCCTGCAAGTCTCACCCCCACCCTAGTCCTGGGTCGCCCCAATCTATGGCGCTCTTGAAAGGGCCACTGGCTTACTCGCTTCTAGACGCAGAGGGGGCAACACACGGCCTTGGGAACAGGTACTGCCCAGGTGCAGAGCCTTGACCACTTACACCTCCCCAAGGAGCCCCTGGCACCTCCTTTCACAGAGGAACGCTGAAGCAACGTGCCCTGAGCATGTTGGGGATCCACATGGGCAGGCCCCCTCCTGGAGCCTCGGGGGGTGCAGGGGGGGTTAGCCACACCCTGAGCTGGATCCCCCACTTCCGGCATCCTGGATGTGAGCTGAGGCGGGGGTGGTGATGGGGTGAGACCTGGTGATTTGCACCAGAATTCTGAGAGGCACCAGATGTGAGCGGGCGTGAACCGCCCAGGACCGGCCGGAGGTGGTGGGGTTCAGAGCCTAGGCTGACTCGGGTTTTCCCTGGACAATCTTCTGTGCTCAAGGATCAAGCGGCCGGAATTCCTCTGCTCCCAGCCTCCCGTCCCAGCCTGCAGGGCCTTCTCACATCCCTGCATCTCCCGGGCCCGGCTGAGGCGGCGCCTTTCATCTTGACGTTCCCACCGGTGAAATGGGGATAATGGCGCTCCACCCCACACGCCGAGGGGGTGGCGGGCGAGCGAGCCGGGGAAGGACGCGTCCACAAGCGCAGGTCTCGTAACTCCGGGAAGCCCTGGCT